TTTTACATTTTCCCTATTGAGACCGATAGAAAATAACTCAATGAAGGATATATAGGGATATCCCTATAGAGCAACCATAAAACATTTGACAAAATTTTATTAAAACCTATAGGGTCCTATAGGGAAAAAACTAATTTCTACATTTATGTGTATTTTCCCCATTGAAACCGATAGCAAATAAATCAATGGTGGATATCCCTATAGAACAACCATAAATCTCAACTACGGGTCCTATACAAACCGATACACCCTATAGAAACACCATACATCCCGATACAAATATCTATCGGTTTGAACAGGGTCTCTATGGGGTATTTTAAGCAGGGATAGTTGAGATTTATGGTTGTTCTATAGGGATATCCACCCTTGATTTATTTGCTATCGGTTTCAATGGGGAAAATACACATAAATGTAGAAATTAGTTTTTCCCCTATACGACCCCATAGGTTTTAAAAAAATTTTGTCAAATGTTTTATGGTTGCTCTATAGGGATATCCCTATATATCCTTCATTGAGTTATTTGCTATAGGTCTCAATAGGGAAAGTGTAAAAGTTATGGTGTGCCTATAAGTAATTTCCTATACATTTTCTATCGGGCCGTATCCGGAAAAAACCATGGACAAATGCACATATTGAATCCGGTAGCGCCCGATAGATTATTTTGTATAGGTCTCTATGGGATATTTCAAGCAGGGATATGAACGTCTGCTTTAATCCGCAAACATCTGTTTTAATCTGCTTTTATCCGCGAAGATCTGCTTTTATCTATAGATAAAAGCAAATCTTCGCGGATAAAAGCAGCCCTGCTTAAAATACCCCATAGAGACCATGTTCAACTGATAGATATTTGTATCGGAATGTATGGTGTTTCTATAGGGTGTATCGGTGTGTATAGTAGGGTGGAGTGAATTTTATTAAATTTATTAATTGATTTTTCCTTTATTATTAATTGTTGACTAAAGGCGTAAAATGAATAAATATCGAAAAAATATTCCAATTTTTTAATATTTTGAGGTGGCGCATCAGTCTCGAAGTTTTGAAAATTCTAAAAAAATATTACTTTAATCAAAGTAATAAAAATAGCATTATTTATAAATAAAAAATTTATTTTAGTAAAATTAACGTGAAACGTAAACATATTTAATAGTAAATCATATGCTTTAAGTAATTTCAGGAGTGTTTATTGGTAGAAATGAGATCTTCTTTTTCGCGAAAATACTGACATTTGGTATAAAAATTTGGTAATTATTTTCTGACTTTAATTCTTGTTCTGATGAAACCATCTCTTGCTTCCGATCCACAAACCGAGTCTGAAGATTCAGTATACTGGTTATAACCAGTTTTACACAGCGTTCCACTGCTTGGGTGTGACACGGAAATTTTTGGAAGTTTAGGAAATGGTCACCCGAAGAAATCATATCGGTAATTTCTGTCATCGTATTTCATAGTCATAGGTGGTTCAGTTACCTTTTCTGTCGCCCATTGAATTAACTTGTAAAAAGTATTTAGTTGTGGAAGCTTTAATTCCCGTAATCTCGAACATTTTAATTCTTTTCTCGCCTTTAATATTTTCGGCAATGCTAGTTCTTTGATCGATAGATATATTGTAGGTAACATAGCTAGTAATAGGTTTTCGGGATAAATATTAGCTATAGCTTACAAAGATCCAGGCAAGCTAGCACATTCCCTATGGCTGACGTGGGCTAATAGGATTATTCGTTTATATGTGGGGACAGCAAATCCATCGGAAAACCTAAAAGAATTGGCTACTTTTATCATGAAAGTGTATGCCCCAACGTGGTTTTACATCAACACCAAGCCTACGTGCAAACATGGTCCTATTCACATATTTAATATGACTAAAAGAGCATTACACCTCTAGAAAAACTTGAAGGCCATATAACTATAGTTATAAAGAATATTCAGCGAAATATTTATCCCGAAAACCTATTACTTGCTATGTTACCTACAATATATATATATATATATATATATATATCGATCAGAGAACTAGCATTGCCGAAAATATTAAAGGCGAGAAAAGAATCAAAATGTTCGAGATTACGGGAATTAAAGCTTCCACAACTAAATACTGAAGCATTACGTTTGTACCATTAACTGCAGTTAATTCACTGGGCGACAGGTGAAAGGTGAAAGGTGACTGAACCACCTATGACTATGAAATACGATGACAGAAATTACCGATATGATTTCTTCGGGTGACCATTTCCTATACTTCCAAAAGTTCTGTGTCACACCCAAGCAGTGGAACGCTGTGTAAAACTGGTTATAACCAGTATACTGAATCTTCAGTCTCGGTTTGTGGATCGGAAGCAAGAAATGGTTTCATCAGAACAAGAATTAAAGTCAGAAAATAATTACCAAATTTTGATACCAAATGTCAGTATTTTCGCGAAAAAGAAGATCTCATTTCTACCAATAAACACTCCTGAAGTTACTTAAAGCATATGATTTACTATTAAATATGTTTACGTTTCACGTTAATTTTACTAAAATAAACTTTTTATTTATAAATAATGCTATTTTTATTACTTTGATTAAAGTAATATTTTTTTAGAATTTTGAAAACTTTGAGACAGATGCGCCACCTCAAGATATTAAAAAATTAGAATATTTTTTCGATTCTTATTCATTTTACGCCTTTAGTCAACAATTAATAATATAGGAAAAATCAATTAATACATTTAAAAAAATTCACTCCACCCTAATGTATAGGACCCATAAATCCCAACTATAGTTGGGATTTATGGTTGTTCTATAGAGATATCCATTCTTGATTTATTTGATATTGGTTTCAATGGGGAAAATACACATAAATGTAGAAATTAGTTTTTCCCCCATAGGTTTTAATAAAATTTTGTCAAATGCTTTATGGTTGCTCTATAGAGATATCCCTATATATCCTTCATTGAGTTATTTGCTATCGGTCTCAATAGGGAAAATGTAAAAGTTATGGTGTGCCTATAGGTAATTTCCTATAAATTTTCTATCGGGCTGTATCCGGAAAAAAACATGGAGAAATGCACATATTGAATCCGGTAGAGCCTGATAGATTATTTTTTATAGGTCTCTATGGGGTATTTTAAGCAGGGAGATGTTTGAAGGGGAATTTGAATGAAGCAGACTTTTGCGGACTAAAGTAGATGTTTGCGGATGAAATCGGACGTTCTCAGATGAAAGCAGATGTTTGCAGATAAAACCGGGTGAATGAATATAAACCCAAATATAGGTATTTTCTGATGAAACCAGACGAAAGCAGACACAGAATTTAATAGATAAAATCCGAAAAAATTGTTTGTATACAGTCAGACAAAACCGGATGATTAACGGATATCCGTTATATGGTGTACTTACCGGACGAAAAACAGGTTAAACCGGAAGTTCGCGGATGTAGCAGGCATTTGCGGATCAATACGGACGAAAGCCGACGAACAAAAAGCAGGCAAGCGCGGACGAAAGCAGACGAGAACTGACGAGAGATCATACTATCCCCCTAAAAACATTTTTTCTTTTTTTTTGTAATAATCTGACTAAAAATGGACAAATAAGCAACTTCATTTGATTTATTTTGTCCCGTGACGTTTCAATAAACCCTTTCCTTCTGTGAAGTGACAAATCATGACGGTATTTTAGCAGGACGGCCCCTATGTTAAAAAACGCTGTAACCTTAATAACGTTATAAAATAAAATAAACGTGGGAAAACGTTATTTTATACATTCCAACCAACTTTATAACGAGAGACCTATATAGGTCTCCCACATAAAAATCTACATTTAAACAACGTTGTCTAAAACTGGACAAACGTTATTTCCTATAAGGGATCACAGTTCTATTATACAACAAGCTTTATTACAAGTCTTCATTTCTATTGCTTTTTTGTTAAACTACAGTTCGATTTTTAAATGAAGCAACTTTTGTCATCAAATTTATGTCTAAGCTTGATACAATTGTATTGTTTTTCCACGCCTCGCTGCGCTAGCCATGTACTTCTAACGCTGTAAGTTTGATACCGCAAAGTTATCGGTCGACAACGGTGGGCAATGCATGCCTGATGACGTTGCGGTATCAAACTTTTAGCGTTCGAACTGTAGCGATGGTAAGCAGCGATACGTTTGTCAAAAAACAATCTGACTTAAGTTAAGAAGCAATGCTTCTTTTAAAAATCAAGCTGCTTCTATCTTCTTGAATTTGTTTTCAGTCATAATGTTTTAATTCTGAGTTTTTTTATTATCTTATTCTGATGCTAGTATTTCCCCTTACATTGTTGTTCTGGATTTGGGAAATCTGTATTTGTTGGTAATCAGGGCTCCCAGCTAAATTTTAAGTGCTATTTTTAGGATTTTATGACAAATCTTAGTAGAATTTAAGGACATTTTAGGCAAATTTTATTAAATAAAAATTAATAATTATTCGTAGGATAACAAAAACAAAACAAAAATATCTACTATTTATACATACCTATAGCCTATAGGTATACTAAAATAAAAATAAACAATTTTTTATTCAATATTGATAAAAAACAAAATATTTGTCTTATAGGGTAGGTACCTAGTTTTGTATCACTGTTTTGGATTTAATACGTCGTTTTTTCTTTTTATAAGGTTTAATTTTTTCACATAGCTTTTCTTTAGTGCTTAGTTCTACTGCACTGTGTAGGTCTGATTTATTAATTGTGTATTAAATAGTTTTTTAATTGTTAATTTTGATAGAAGTCAATTTGATCACACAAGCATAGAGTAGGCAACCCAGCTCACAAACTGATGTTTTGGTGTTTTTATTATAACAAAATTTTAAATATTAACAAAATAAATTTTTTTTGACATTTCAGAACAAGACCAATTTATACATTTAGGACAGAATGCTGAATTTTAGGACTTTTGAACATTTGATAATGTGTAATTATTAAATCGCTGTTCTTTTTGGCGTTTTGGATTGTTTAAAAAAATTATTAAAAAACACTTATAATAGTTTATAAATTAAAATATTTTATTTATTAACTCTCTTAATCGTTACATAAATAACTTTTAAGTATTTACAAACAGATTAAAAATTAATGCTAAAATTGGAATAAGTGAAAATATATACAACCATATACAAAAACGATATTTTTATATAAATAAAAAATTTCAAAACGTGGTAAATGAAAAAATGGTACTAGCTCAAAAAAGAAATTAAATAGATATAAGTTATAATTTATAACTAATAAAATTGATAAAAATTAAACTAAATTCAGTCAATATCCCCTAAAAGCGTAATGGTTTGTTTCCCTTTAATTTCGTCTTCATCCTCTTCATCATCCTATAAAATATTAACATTTTATATGGGATAATTACCTTATTTTTGTTACTTACATCAAAACCGAAACAATTTTTCATGTCATCTTTACTATCTTCTTCTTCCTCCTCAACCGATTCTTCTTCATCTGCTTTATGGACCCTTCTAGCAGATTGTAGTGCTTTGATAACGTCTTCATCATTTAGATCTACAAAATAAATTGAGAAAATTGTACAATTAGACCATTGTATGTAACTTACCATTATCAGGTAAAAGACCATCGGCAAGCAAATCATTTCCTCGCTCCCCCACAACCATGACTTGTTCTTCGCCATCGGCCATTTGAATAACTTCAAGTACCACATACTGCTGACCGTCGGAGCCCTCGACCGCCATCATGTCGATCTCTTCCTCGTCGTCGGATGCTATACCGCGCATAACCTCCACCTGCTGCCCGTCTATAATCTGAACCTTCTTTTGCCTGCCGAGCTTCAGCTCGAGCTGCTTCCTCTGGATGGTCGGGTCGGGATCGTGAGCGGCCATGTGTCTGATCAGGTTGCCTTTGTGGCGGAACGCTCGCGAACATTCCGGACACTCGTGCGTTTTCTCCTTCGGCGGTGGCGGGATGTACTCGGGATTGTGATACAGGTTTTGATGGCGCTTCAGCAGCTGCTTCTGACGGAACGATTGATCGCACTGTTCGCACTGATACGGCTTTTGATCGGTGTGGATTAGCATGTGCGACTCCAGGTGCCGGGCGGATATAGATGCATATGGGCACAGGTCACATTTGTAGCATTTCTCGCCTTCATGAGTTTTATTGTGAAGCTAAAAAATATTATCAATTTATTGCTATTTAAAAACAACAATAGATTTGTGTACCTTGTAATTGTACCGGTCGGGAAAACTTTTACCGCACCTCTTACATTTTAATGGTTTGTCGGAAGTATGCAATTTTTGGACATGAATTCTAAGATCGGTTTTACGGCCACAAGTTGTAGGACATAATTCACATTGAAAACTTGGTTTATCGCCAACTAAAAAAGACGTATTTAATTTTTTTTTTAAATAAAATATGTTATCTGCCCCGGGCTTAGGGAGCTTTCAAATCGATAATTTTTCCACAGTCGAAATAACGCTAAAATGTTATGTTTAGTAAGCGGCATTTGGAATTGAGGGCCTTCAAATGCATGCAAAATATGATAGTAGATACCCATTATTACTATTATTATGACAATGACATTTCGTTACCTTAGTTCAATACTATAACATGTGATTTTTGGGAAATAAAAGAAATAAGAAATTGCGGCATTAATTATAGTTTTAATTATTAAATAAATGAAAAATCTCTGTACATAATTTCTAAACACGTGTTAATAATAAAACGATTACCTTGATTTTCATTTCAAACTTCAGAATTTTGAAATTTGATCGAGTTGTTACATTAATTTTTCGGAAATTTACGAATTTAGCGGCTAAATTTACAAGTTAGAGTTTTTTGTTAAAGAACTAGGTAAACGACAATGTTTGCTTTTATATAACTAAACTAAAAAAATTTTTAATTGTAACACTCGTCCAGCTTGTTATAAAAGTTCCGCAAAAAAGTATCATTTATGTTTTTGTTGCATAAATTACTATTAGGAGGTCCTGCAATCTGATGAGCCAAAAAAAATTCTTCCCAAAAACGCTATTAAAAATAAAAAAAAATACCATTTATAATTTCTTCCCTACTTTGCTATATCTTTCCTAAAAGTAAACGCAAATAAATTATATTTTATTTGCGTTTAATTTTAAAACTAAACGCAAACTAAACTCCGATCCATACTATCATAAAACTCAACGCCAATTAAAAGCAAATAATACGCTAGCTTGACACGTTTGCTTTGTGCACAACTCAACGTTAAATTTGCGTTTGCCAGATCCGCAAACTCTTCCTTAAATAAATTTATACATAGAATAAAAAAGTTTGAACAGATTATTTTATTTAAAAATTCAGATAATTTGCCATCAAATTCACAACAAAGTTTCAACTGTCATAGTCATGATGTTTTAAAAGTAAAAATGAAATTAAACTTATTAAAGAAGAATCATCTCTATGAGAAGAATCCAGTATAAAAGCAAAATTGGATTGAGAAAATCTGGGAATCAAAGTTTTACCGACCTATTTTTACGGAAATTATCTAACAATTACATATATTATATAATATATATATATATTATACAGGGTGCCATGTAATAATAATAATAATAGTTTTTGAATAAAAAAAATCATAAAAATTAACTTAATTCTTAGGCGGTTGGGGTCGAAGGACTGAGTAAATTCGGCCAATTGTTTAACTGTGGTTCTTATTGCAGTAACTGCTGTCAATGATTTTAACGGGCTAAGGTTTCTCGAGTGGTTATAAATGCTCGACAAATAATATATCCTATTCCTTTTTTTCGTGCTTTAAGATAGAGCTGGTTTCAAAAGCGAAACAAAATTTTTTGGCCAAGAAAAATTGATATAAAAAATAGTACTAAAAAAAGACTATTCTTTTCCCTAAATTTTGATATATATATTTAAATGGGATCTCGAAACCAGTTCGAAAATAAAAGCGTTAAAACGCACAGGGATCGGGCATCGACTGGCTCTGTTCGATCTGCTAAGTAAATAACTGATAGGTAAAGGGTCTCACAATGTTTTTTTTCAATCATTGGTACATCGGTAGTTTATTATTTAAGTGTTAGTTAATGTAAATTGTACACAAAACATAAACACCTAATTAATAACCTATTCCATTTTGAATATTTGCATGTCCTACGCAAAATAATGCTATAATTTAATAATTAAAATTTTAAAATGTATTTATAACCTTAAACAATTTAGTTATAACTTAAAACATTTAAACATGAACTATTTTACTTGAAAAACAGAATATTCGGAAACAAACGATATATTTTTTTTAAGTACAGTAAGTGCTTCTTTTTCGGCCGGAACGAATGAATGGTATTTTTGTGACCCTGGAACTCCTTTTGCAGCACTAAATCGCTGTTTAAAAAATTCAGCTGCTCCAATATGCTAAATTCTACAATTTTAAAATTTAAGTATTATTTTGCGTAGGACATGCAAATATTCAAACTGAAATAGGTTATTAATTAGGTGTTTATTTTTCGTGTACAATTTACATTAATTAACACTTAAATAATAAAGTACTGATGTACCAATGATTGAAAAAAAATTGTGAGATCCTTTACCCATCAGTGATTTAATTAGCGGATCGAACAGAGCCAGTCGATGCCCGATCCCTGTGCGTTTTAACGTCGTTATTTTTGAACTGGTTTCGAAATCCCATTTAAATATATATATTAGGGTGTCCCTTATTTTTAGTTTTTTTACGCATACCCTCTAATTATATTTATTACGTGTTTATATACTCCCAGTAAAAATTTCAGCTCATTCTATAAACGGGAACCCGTGCCGACTTGCATCTGAACCATCCGTTAGCCAACGTTAGGCGCGCGGTATTTTGTAACACGGTTGGTCGCGAAGTCATTTTGTGTTTGTTATTATGTGACCCTTATATTATAAATTATTGACAAATGTTAAAATATAGTTTTATTTATGTGTATACTTTGATAAATATGTATATTTTCACAGGGAGTGGCTAGTTACCCGGAGGGGTCTGTTGAATAGGCCGTAAACTCTGAAATTGGTAAACTTAATGGGTTTTACTCTAAATAACTAAAAGAGTCTATTGTGAGAGATGACTACCGAAAACTTATTGAACTGTCTGAAATATTTTTGGGAGGACATCAAGAAAAGAAATGATTATAAAAAGCTGAAATTTCATATAACAGTATATTTTATCAATACTAATTAGTATATTAATATATTTAAGGGATAAAATCAACTAAATTAGTGAAACAAATGATAGAAACAAAAGCAATAATATTAATTAGTAATCATATTTAATAAAATCATTAGAAAAATACAGTCATGAAGTTTATCTTCTTTTTAAAGTGTTTCGTGTTACAAAATACCGCGCGCGCCTAAGGTTGGCTAACGGAGGGTTCAGATGCAAGTCGGCACGGGTTCCCGTTTATAAAATGAGCTGAAATTTTTACTGGGAGTATATAAACAAGTAATAAATATAATTAGAGGGTATGCGTAAAAAAAATAAAAATAAGGGACACCCTAATATATATATATCAAAATTTAGGGAAAAGAATAGGCTTTTTTAGTACTTATTTTAAAAAAATCAAAATGGTCCCATTTTGACAAAAAAGTAAAAATATTTTTTATATCAATTTTTCTTAGACAAAAAATTTTGTTTCGCTTTTGAAACCACCTCTATCTTAAAGCACGAAAAAAAGATATAGGATATACTATTTGTCGATTTAAAAAAAAGTAATTTCTATTTTTTTATCAGCCAAAAAACTCTCACAAAAGAAAAAGAAAAATTTCAAGCCCCTGTATATCTGCAACCTGTCAGCCTTTTCCGCTGCCCTTTTGGTAATTAAAGTAGTCTGATAGTACAATTATTTAGCAAAGTTTCATCAAAATCGGAAACAACCATATGTGACGTCATTCCTGACATACGTCTTCGACTTGAACTCGAATATGATCGATGACCCAACGGACTTCTTTCGTGATTTGGACTGTAGCTGATAATACAATAACCTCGACAATAACACTTGAATGTTTGAATTTCCTGACTTTCCAGGCTTAATCCGACATATGGGAACCAATTTTTTAAAATATTTAATTTTGGTTAAATTTACATGGGTTAAAAATACCCCCCTTTTATTCACCCTCTGGCTCATTTTAACCTTCCGCAGTATACAGCATTCATCAAGCTATATTAAGTGATTATGTAATTGGATGTAAAAAGCATTACGCCATTTTGGGTAATAGGTGTACAAATTTAGTCTGGTTGTTTTCCCCTTGAAATATTATCAACTTATGGGAACCAATTTTTAAAAATATTTAATTTTGGTTAAATTTACATGGGTTGAAAATACCCCCCTTATATTCACCCTCTTGCTCATTTTGACCTTCCGCTGTGTACAGCATTCATCACCCTATATTAAGTGATTATGTAATTGGATGTAAAAAGCATTACGCCATTTTGGGTAATAGGTTTATAAATTTAGTCTCGTTGTTTTCCCCTTGAAATATTATTAACTTATGGGAACCAATTTATAAAAATATTTAATTTTGGTTAAATTTACATGGGTTGAAAATACCCCCTTTTATTCACCCTCTGGCTCATTTTGACCTTCGGCTGTGTACAGCATTCATCACCCTATAATAATAATAATAAACTTTATTGGAAATCCAAAAGGCTAACGACTTTCGTCTTCCTGCCTCATCACCCTATATTAAGTGATTATGTAATTGGATGTAAAAGGCATCACGCCATTTTGGGTAATAGGTGTATAAATTTAGTCTGGTTGTTTTCCCCTAAGATTTGGAAAATATAAATTGTATACAGTGTTGGCCATAATTTTTGGAACCACTGTAAAAAAAAAAAATCCAACTCTAAAACGCCTTTATAGTTTCTTTATGAAATTTTGGATAAAAATACTTCAACTTATATCTCAGTTTACGTGTTCGAGGGTTTTTCGAGAAAATATTTTTAAAGCCCTTTTATTTAATAATAAAAAAACGTTCGAAAAATAACTTTTAGGGTAATTTTTTTAAATAAATAAAAATTATACTGTTAAAGACCGTATATTTGTTAGTATACCCTGAAAATTTTGTACAAATTAAACGAACAGTAACGAAGACACAGCGCTTCAAAGTCGGTAAAAATGGCCCCTTTTTGATTAATTTGCTGAAAAGTGGTCATTTTTGACGACTTTGAATCGGTGTATCTTCGTTGCTGTTCATTTGATTTCTACAAAATTTTCAGGGTATACTAACAAAAATACGGTCTTGAGCAGCATATTTTTTATTTACTTAAAAAAAATTCCCTAAAAGTTGTTTTTCAAACGTTTTTTCATTATTAAATAAAAGGGCTTTAAAAATATTTTCTCGAAAAACCCTCGAACACGTAAATTGAGATATAAGTTGGTATTTTTATCCAAAATTTCATAAAGAATAATAAAGGCGATTTAAGATTAGATTGTTTTAACAGCAGTTGCAAAATTATGGCCAACACTGTAAGTAAATAATAAATAAGTTTGCTTGAAAAACACTTCCAATAAATTTTATTTTGCCGCCCCAGGCCTCCGACAGACTTAGTCCGCCACTGCATTTAGGATATTAAGGTTAGTTAGAAACTTAAAAATAAAATAATATACGTACTATTATGTGTGAGTTTGTGGGCTTTCAAGCTGTTGGACTGCGTAAATCTGGTGCCACATACGTCGCACTCGTACGGTTTTTCTCCAGTGTGGATGCGCAAGTGTCTTTTCAACTTGAAAGTGTCCGGGCTGGCGTAAGTACAGTGAGGACATTGGTATGGTCTTTCGCCGGTGTGACAACGAATGTGACGCTTCAACTTGGACAGTTCTACGCTCGCGTAGTCGCACTCGTTACACTTGTGCGGCTTCTCGTGCGTATGACGATATCGCACGTGACGCACAAGTTCACCTAATCAAATTAAATGTGGAAATAGAAATGTTTAATTCATCTTTTTGTTTCCTTACCTGAAGTAGTAAATGCGGCATCGCAGTACTTGCAGGTGTGAGGTTTGACACCAGTGTGAGTGTTGACGTGGTTTTGAAGAGAGGCAAGTGTTTTAAAGCCTCTTTCACATACACTGCACTTGTGAGGCCTTTCTTCCGAATGAGATTTCATGTGGCGGGATAGCAGGTACCTTTTGGGACTTGTGTAATTGCAGTAATTACACATGTGAGCTTGCGTAACAACTTGAGAGGGTTTTCTTGGTAGGATTTTTACGATTTTCGATTTATCGTCTTCATTGTCCGAATCCATCATTCCACCTTCTTCTCCTTCATCAAAATCATAAACTAAAAACAGAATGTAAAGATTTGTTTTTAAAGGAAGTACTAAAAATTACCTGCCATGTCTTGGTCGCCTTCCTCTTGTTCGCCATCTTTCATTTCAGAATCTTGAACAATAAGCACATAACTTAATTCGCCAGTATTATTATCTGCAGGGACAACAGTTACTCTTTGATAAGCATTTCCAGAGTTTATTACAATTTGATTATTTTCTCCAGGAACCGAAATCTAAAAAAATAATACATTACCTATTAAATATTTCTATCCAAAAGAGTTAATTCTTTAAAGTTTTCTGCATTGAAGATAATAAATAAAACAGGCAACCTAAACATTCAAACTTCCCTTTCTTGACATTTATTGTCAAATCAATATTTAAATCTTAGTTGATAGTTAAAGGTTAAAATTTTTTTTTTAAATCCTTTTTAAATGGCATGTAAGTAAATAATTTCATTTAAAATCTCTTATGAAAAAACTGCTTAACTTACTTCTTCTTCATCTTCGCCTTCTTCCCCTTCATTTTCTGGATTTATAATAAATTCTTCTGCCTCTTCCTCAGAAGGTTCACCCAATCCAGACATAACCGTCATCACCGGTTGGCTGTCTCCTTTTGCTTGATAGTAATACTGACCTGCTTGGTCGACAAAATATGTCCCACCTTCTCCATCTTCATTTTCTTCAGCTAATAAATAAATAACACAAATATAATTTTCCGAAACATAAATTATAAAGAAAAAAAAATATTATTTTGTAGATAAAAGAAGAAATGGATTCATCTTCGACATTTACATCATCATCTTCAGACTACAGCAACCCATCTTGGTAATATTTTTTAGGAATAAGCCAATTATTCATTAAATAATTTAAATACAGTAAAATAATTTTAGTTATGACCCATTTAAGTTAGTTTTTGCTGCAAATTCAAAAAGAGTTATGTATCCAGCTGCTATTATTGGAAAGGCATCATATATAAGAAATTATTTAAAAATATATTTTTTTAAAGCCAAATTAGTATGTGAACTTCCAAAATCCAGAATAATCTTTAAATTTCATTATATACTTGGACAAGAAGTTAGTTTTAAAATAAAAACTCAATTAAAAAAGGGAATTGTTGAAGAAATTATTATGAATGAAACCACTATAATACCATACTTTAAGGTATACCTTAAAGGTCAGAATGTTCAAGTTTCATTTTTTAATATATATCTTAGCAAGAAACAAGCTAAAAATGTTGGATGTAAAAATAAAATTTAAAATAAAGTCTATTTACATGAGTAAATAAGTAGGTATTATCAATTTGGTTGTGTTGTAAAATTACTTTTATTAAGAAATTATTATTCTTAGTCAACACCAATGCTAATGGGAGTTATTTTAGTTATTAATTCAAAAAAGTTAATACAGCTAAAATTAAAATTAACCAAATTTCCTTTTTTTAACATAAATTACCTATATGGTTTATCCAAAAAATTTGTGAGTAAAATTAAAAAAAAACACGGTTTTATTATAATTAATAGCTCTATAAAAATCTCTGGATTATTTTTAGAAAATAAGACAAAATTAGCTTGACACTGAAAGAAAATTAACCCTAATTAGTTCTATGGAGTTATGTGGTGGGACTTTAATGTGTGAATGACATCATCAGTGTTGAAAGATCAGGGGTTTTCCCCTAGATTTAGGTTTTTGATTGTTCAGGGAGACTTTTAGGGGGAAACAAAAGTTCTTACAGAGATTTTTAGGATTCATTATTCCCGTTTTTTTGGTCAAAAATTATACACTGTATTTGGATTCAGGCAATAAATTATAAATGAGACACCCCTTTAAAATCTTTATTTGAAGAGATATTAAAAATCCAGATTGCATGATTTAAAAAATTAATATTTTTGACAAAAAAAAAGAATCGGAAAATTGATAAAACATTATTTTTTCAATGGAACACCCTGTAGATTTTTGAACATTTAGATACTTTATTATTCTAATTTAAAAAATGTATAATTTGTATATGTTTGAATTAAACATTTTATTAATAATTTAACGAAAAAGAAAACACTTAACACAAATATATACAAATGATACTTGAAACCAGAAGAAAAAACTATTTTTCTACTCCCACCTTTAAAACGCCCTTTATCGTACATGTTTCCATGACACTAAGTGACCTTTTAAATACACATTGACAAGTTGTGTCTTTAAGTCGCTTTAGTCACGGGCTGAAGTTAGCAACAGGTTTTTAGTCACGGGCTGAAGTTGGTTTTAAGTTAGTTGAGAGTTGTCAAATGTCATACAATCGTTAAAATAAAGTGCCTTTCTTGTAAAATAATACTAAATGTGAAAGTTATTTTATTATCTCAATACAAAAATATTAAATAGTTTCTCAACGCCAATATTTGAAAAGTTTATATGAACATTGTACTGACCATTTAATTTCGCCGGCAGTAAACTATAACTTAAATTCGGGCACGGACTCTACTGTAAAGTCCTCATAAAACATTTCCTTTACTTTCACTGTGAAAAACTGTCAATTTTCTAGATACATTTCGATTTATAACCTTTATAATTGTGTTTATAAAATGTAAAAATGTGACATTTGACAGTTTCCCAGATGTTGTTTCATAGATGGCGCTATATACAAATTTTTGATTTAAATAATTTTAAGATAATAAGTATTTATTGTAGAAAAAGTATAGTATGCACCTCGTTTATAAACTTTTCTATACACTCATTAAATTCGTGTATAAAATGGCGTTTATCAAACTTGATACATAATATACTATTATATATTCAAAAAAATACAGTGTGTTTTATTGAAAAAAAAAACAATGTCGATGCTATTTTATTAAATTTACCGTAAAGTAAAAGAAATCGGCAGTAAAGTTCTACTTTTTTTTTAATACGAGTATTGTATGCAACCCATTATACATTTTAAGATGTATCTACTGCTCCTCAGCAGCAACTAAATAATATTTTTTAAAAAGCACCGTCGCGGAGGTCGACTGGACTTTCATAAAATGTTGTTTAATAAAAATAATAAGTTAATTTTATTAACCCATTAGATTAAAACATCGCCGCGGCGCAATAACCGTCGGAACAAACAGTAGACGTAGACACTTCCTACATTCAAATGACATTTGATTTAATCATCAATATTAATTTGTTAATTAATTAATTTGTTAATTAATTAATTAGTATTAAATGTGATTTCGAATAAAATTTAATATGCACCTCGGCATTAAAGTCATTTTTTAAATACAACTTTACTGCCTCAATACATAAATAACTATTTTAAACCATGAAAGCTGGCTTTTTAATTTGTTCGATATCTCTTCTAATCAAATATTAGTAATATTCTCCAACACCAAAACAAAATAAAAAGTGCTTAAAGTACTTTTAGCCAACAATGTTGGCATCTTCAGAACAGGACAGAGAAATTGAGTGTTGCCCAACATATACTTGATGATGGTCATAGAATAGGTTTTGACAACCTTAAACTTATTAAGGAAGTTAGAACCTTAAACTTATTAAGGAAGTTAGGGAACCAAGTCTGCTAGATAGTTATAAAAGTTTATACATCTATAAGAATAGAAATAAATCTTTAAATAGGGATAATGGACTGGTACCCAAATGTAGTTTGTATAAATTAGTTTCTCTTTAAGTGTTCACTAAAGCGATTACGGTCCACGGTTTAGTAAACTGTTTCCGTTTACGGTTGAATCAACCTTAGCTTATAATTAGTATAAATATAGATTTAGCATTTAGATTTAGTTACACTTCACTTCTGAAGATGCCAACATCGTTGATGAAAAGTACTTTAAGCGCTTTGTGTTTTGTTTTGGTGTTGGGGAATATTTCTAATATTTGTTTAACATATCACCAAAGTTTTTTTTAAGTATCTCTTCTAGTAAAGATTTTATAGGGGTGTCACATTTATAAGAAAACACTCTGTCTTGTTAAATACTTTGTTTAAAATTTTAGTTCAGTTTATTATACCTATTTATATATATTTTAATAGATAAAAAAACTCTATTTCCTATTGATACTTAATCTTTGTACCATAAATGATATTAAAGATACAATAATATGTAGGTATGTATGTATATTGAATAACCCAAAATGAGAAAATTTAAGTTTTAAGCTTAAAAAAACTGAAGGTGGGAAGGACCAAATTCTAGGGCAAAATTGAGCTTCATCTGGAATCCAGACTCAGGGAAAGTGCTCTGACAATCTGGCATAGTGGATGTTTCTCTAACTACTACATTTTATTTATTACACCCACATAAATTATGAATTATACCTACATAAATTATGAATTTAAATAATATACCTAGTATATTTGTACCACATTCAATATTTTATACAACAACCACAAAGAAGTTCAGGCCAATTTATTTTGTAGTAATTTATCCATTTTGACTAAGGTAGAATTTTAATTGATATTTTATTTGACATCTGACAGCTGTCAATTGGTTTTAACCTCACTTTTTTCCCAATTTAACTTCAACCCTGGGAAAAATGCTATTTCACCAACAAGTGACAGAAGTAAAATTTTGCACATGAGTTAAAGTTATGATATTAAATATTAATATTAAATACATAAATATTTACCTGCAACTTGTTGTATATTTGCTTCACCTCCTATTTCTTTTTGAAACCCTGCCAAATACGACTGTATCTCAGTAACATTATCCGAATTATCTTCCAATTTAATGGTGCCTTCTGTAAATTGTGCAGTCATACTGCACCTTTTATTTTGTTTTCTTTATTTAATTTATGTTCCTATGCCTAAAACAAAATAAATTAACAATCAATTAAATGTAACCAATTGTGATGTACCTTCTAAATTATGTAAATTAAATAACGTTAACCATTTAAACAGTTTATAAAGCAAACAGAAAAGTATTAAATATATAAAAATGCTTTTAATATTTTCCCTCCTAAATTATTAGAAGAAATTGACGTCGTTTGTCAAGCTGGCAAATAGGTATAGACGCCATCTTCTAATAATTTTGCAGATGTATTAAAAATAGGACAAGGTAACGCCATTACTTTTTAAATTAAGAAATTCAAATATTCAGAAAATGTTCTTAAATTCTTGTCAGTCCCAACTTAACAAATTTAGATGTAGGGGGCATCCGACAAAAATTTCAAGAATTGAGCACTGCTGGCGCTGTCATCAACGATAAGTTAAATGGAGTGTTGCTGTGAATTAAAATAATGATTTTTTTGGGTTTTACGCGGCTAATAGGTGTAAAGGTGTCGCTAACTACTTTAAAACCATCACAAATTACACACCAAGTAAAGAAACAGAGGTTGAGAGTGTATTTAAGAGGTATTTTAGAAAATAAAACTTACCTTTTTAACTCCAAAAATGTCCTGTGAGGGCGTAACGTAATGGCAGCGTCTATTTAGTAAAATAAGAGATGGCGAGGCGGACGAATCGACAAGAAACCAGTTTACGCATGCGTCAACACAAAGATTTTACCAATCACATTTCACAGCCAATAAAATAGCTCCATTTTACCGCCAATTTATGTTTTAAATTCGAAATTGTTACCTTGCTATCCTTTTTTAGGTTTTATTTTAATTTTTGCAAATAATTTATTTAAAACGGGATAGAATTACAATGATTGGTTTATTTTAATTAAAAAAAAAACTTATATCTACAGTAGATAGTAACTATTTTAGGAAAAATTCCATACAGTAAACTAATATGTTAGTAAATTGTGTTAATTTTATAAAAAAGTGTGTTAAAAATTAAAACAATTATTTTTAATTTAAAAAAGTATATAGGTTTTTAAATACTGTATTTATATAATACAATTTTATTATTTATTTATATTACATATATTTAATGGAACTTCTGATGTGTGGGAGTTTAAAATAATTATTTGAAGTAAACCAAATTATTTTTTTCAGTAAGCAGTTTTTAAGTTATTAAGGATTTAAGTTTAAACAACTGCCTAAATAGGTAGGTACCTGGACTTTTTGACATCTAAAAAAAGTTAAAAATAAAATTGTTATAGCAATAATAATAATTATTATATATTAACTATATATTAACTTAATATTATTAAGTATATATAAATAAGAAAAATACAGAAAATAACAAATAAAAATTTTGTTACATTTTATTAGACAAAAGGGACAAAAAATTTCCGTAAACAGAATCTGTTCTTCCGCAACTCTAAAATAAAATAAATTTAATTCTATTAATAGTAGAAGACATTTTCTTATTCTAACAATTTTTTCTAACGATCTGTTTATATATTAATATATATATATATTAAAAATTTTTAACATTTTCTTTTTAATATATTTCTAAAATGAATGGAAATGCTGGTATCAGTTATCTTGAACCTATTTAGAAGGTGTGGCAGATAATACGACATGGACCTTTTGAATATTTCTTTTTTGTTGCATTTCTTGTTTTACGTTTTAATGTTTATATCATGATGCAGGGTGGTTAAATATGGCCTCCAAAAGAATGCTTCATTTGTGCTGTTTTTCTATAAAATAATCAAATTTAATAAACCAGCTTATTATATGAAATCTCCTATTAATTCCATAAATCAGTCGCAATTGCTTAAGCAAGCATTGTGGTAAGGTTTTAATATGAATAACTTTATTAAGTTATATGAACATCTACAGACAGACCAACATCAACCTTATTTAATTGTCTAAAAAAAATATTTTTTTATTTTTAATATGGCATGGCGCAATTATAGTTACCCGGGTACTTCTAAGTTTCCTATAATCAATATTAAAGCATATTAAAAAGTAATAATTGACACTATATTAGGTACTTCCGAGGGTACTTCACCCGATTGAGTTTGGCTTTATTTTGATTACAAATGTTTTAAAAGGGTTTAGTTTAGTTTTGTTATTTATTCTTGTTAATTTAAACATTTCCATTTAAATATTTCAGCAAAGCTATTTTAATATTTTTTATTTAGGCAATATAACCAGATTTAATTTAATTGAAATTTCAGTTACCTATTGCAATCATGATTTTGTATTTATCATTACAACAAAAAGGTTTGTAGTGAACATAATAAATATTATAAACATATCAAATAAGGAAATCTTGCGTCCCCAGCCATTAGGGATATATATTTATATATATTTTCTCTTTTGTGAAAAAACTACCTATTTATTTAAAAATTATGTACAATTTGTAAGCTTTAAATGTATTGTTGACAATTCTTAAATTCACACAATGCTGCCCAGATTGCGCGCGCATTGTGAAAACGTGATACTTCTTTAGCGTATAGTACTTTTTTACTGATGACAGCTCTAAACTATCTAACCTCACTTTATACTTTAAATAATTGTGATCATAATATTATATAATTTAAAGTAAGTACGTTTAATGTATCATTTAACAAATAAAACTGTGCCTTGAAGAACGTGTCTTTTTGTGATCAGCACAAAAAGGTTCACTTCTAAGCCTTATAACATAAATTACTATTTAAAATAGGATGGATAATAAAACAACCTGACAACCTGTAATATTTTATTATTTAATATAATAAAATGAGGCCTAAGCACTAAGCACCTGTTAAATCATAATTATTATTATTATTAGTATTGGTTAACCAAAGAAATTCTTTAGTACCTACATAGGCAAATTGGCATGTGTATTTAGTATAAACAAAATAATGAGTTCTCTCTAATGATTGTAAAGTATATTAAAAGGGGTAAAGATACCAAAATTTTTATTTCCAATAAATAAAATAACAAATATGTATAAATATAAATTTGTATTTACATGAAATTAATATGTTTAAAAAATAACAAAAAAATAACACTTAAAACACATGGTTTTTAAAAAAATGTGATGAATATATTGTCTTATTACTGCAGGAGCCAAACTAAACCATATAATTAAAGTAATCATAAACAATACAGAACAGATATAATATGTGATAAAGAAGTTTTTCTAGCAATCTATAACTAAAAGGAATATCTCTTGGCCCTGCTCTTTTTAGTTATTGTTATGGAGCGCTCGGAGCGGTACAGTAAGAATTGTTTGAAATTTGACGTATATCACTTTTAATAACGTAACCTAAAACTATTGCCAGAAACAGCACCAGAAAGGCGGTGGCTAGTTGATAATACTGCGTTTTTTTAACGGCACGGTGAAGCTCGCCTTGACACGAATTAAGTTTGGCCACGCTTGCAGTCAGTTTGCCTAACGTGTCGTGGTCCAGGTCTGCAAAGCCGTTTACGCTATCCACGTTACCGTTACGTGTAATGTCACCGCTCTGAACACATCTTAATCGGATTTGATTAACTTTTCGGTTTGAGGTATTCTGGAAAAAAAGAAGTAGGTATTAATATTGTATTGTTTTTGTGACATTCTGCGACAAATATATTTATATTTGTATACCATAATAGGCACCGTATGATAAGCATTTGCGTTTCGTATTGTCTTCATGTACAGTATGATACGAAAATATAATTTATAATTGTCCTCATGCAAAAAAATTACTTTAATATACTATTTTTTACTTGCATATCATAATAAGCAACATTATGACAGGCATTTGCGTTTCATCTTTCTTATTACGATACGCAACTTCTTAACCAGTCACAAAGACTAGAGACAGGAGTACAAACTTCCTTTGTTTTCCGCATATTTTTAGGAGAAATAAAATTGCAGAGCGCACAAACCCAATCTGATTTTGGCCAATCACAATCATGACGTATGTGTTTGAAATTAAATTGTCCATGGCATCATTGCAGACGCTTTTTGCCTCAACCCCTCCATGTAGGTTGGTACTCCTGTATCTAGTCTTCGTGAGAACGGTCTTAGAACACTTTGGTTTCTAGGTTACGTTCAATATTCTTCAAAGTATTTAAATCGTTTGAAAATCGAGGTGCCAATTTTAAATACTAAAAATAATTTTATGAACTTTATACTAAAATACGCTGTTAAATCAACAGATAATGGTTTTATAACAAGTTTATAAAATTATAATTATAACAATTTTTTTATTTTTGCATTTACTTTATTCGTAAATATTGAGACGCCCATTATAACTATCAATATATCATTTTTACGTCGTGACGTCACGCTACCGAGAGAATTTATGTATTTTTGGTGTATAAAGGTCTTAATTTTAGGAACTAGAGCCTGGCAAAATCAGTTTGGGAAACTCTGTAGATGTGTGATAAATAAAATTATTTTGAGCCAATCTATGGTGTTTTCTTGTACACACATTACCTTCCAAATATCCGAAATGTCCTTGGAAGTTTCACTAGCATCAAGAACAGTGCTCATAATTAGGAACTTGTCTTTTGATAGGCCGCCTATGTGGTATCCAGTAACCAAAGTCACAGTAACTGTGGTCTTTGCGCGTGGTGACAAAATCCCAGTACTAGGTTTGACTCTGAATTTTTCTGGTGATGTAGTTTTCAACTGGAACATAGAAAAATCTGAATATTTTTGTTTTACACAAATATTAATTTTATATTTACCTTATACGATATCGACGTAGATAAATCGGTATTTTCTATGGATAATGTGCTAATAAGTTCACTCCCTTCTTTAATAAAGGTAATAACATTATTAGGTTGCACTTTAAGCGCGCCCCCATCTGAAATAATCAGTTAAGATTAAAAAATATTAATTAAAAAATATGTATAATAAATTTTGTGTGAAAAATAATTATAATTATCTAAAGTTAATTAACACGCAAATAGCAAATTTTATTTTAGGGAGGATGGTCTAAATTTAAAATATGGCTCCTTAAGAAGTCAATGTAGTAACAATGCAAGCCTAAAAAGTACACCTTTTTGGGATTACTATAAAGTCTTATGTGCAGTTAAAATCATTTATTAAGCGACATCATTGTTTTTAGATTTTAAAAACAATGGTGATACCTAGCGTTAGTTAGGTCATTCTGTAAATTGTGCCGAACTTTAACCTGGGTGATCTTTTGTTATATTTTATTTATTGTATCCCAGAAGTCGCACACCACTTTAAAATTGTTTAAAAAAATGGTAAGTACCTTATTTAATTTTTATTATAAAACAGCGTAATTACGTTCAATATGTGAATAATATTCTACTGTCTTTATTTAATAAGAAGAATAAATAAAAAGGCTCATCACTTAACTCTTCAAAACTACCCTTTCTGTTGCAAATATTTTTATTATGTTTGTAATAATTAAGCTTAAGCGTATAAGCATAATAATAACGGTACTTTTTACTCACAATTTTTTATTATTACGGACGAGACAAAAATTGCCTAAAGTGTATTCAAATCCAAGCTGGACTAAACAAAAACGCCCATACGCATGATAACTCGTTCTTATTGGTCGATTCAGAGGATTGTGTTTACATTTAGTCCAGCTTGGATTTAAAAAGACTTTAGTAACTAGGAATTGCTCCCATGAAATTATAATTAATATAATTATAATTAATGACGTTTGACGAATTGTTTTGGCGCCAAATTAAAATACACAGTGACTAGAGGCACGCTAACGTGTCGCGATTCGAGATATTTCATATGTTAAAGACACGTTAGTTACGTCATAATAATAATCCGTTTTTGTTCCCCGAGCGTTATAAAATTGATGTCAAGCTAGATAGCTCAAATGGTAGGGCGGTCGCTTGGCATGCGAGAGGTAGCGGGTTCGATACTCAGAAGTTGTCGAACTTTTTTATTTTTTTATTTCATAAATTTGTTGTTTCTTTGTTAAAAAGTGTTGGGTTTGGTTGTTTTTTTTAGTTTTATCGAAACATAAAATCTGATACATATAAATTCAGCTTTAGAGATTATTTACGTCCTGGCAGTCAAAGATAATATATTATATTATAATGTATTATCTTTGCTGGCAGTAACTAATAAAACTTAAATCGCACAAATTAAATCTTTTCACCACCATGGTGGTGCACCATGGTGAACCACCACTTACTGCAGCGGCGATTATTGTCGATGCGTCCCGAGTCTGCTGTTTTGGTAGCGTTTCGGTACACATCAAACAATCGACATAACACCAGCGCCCTCTTATCTTAGGAAGATTTTTGTATACATGTTCGGTACTACCATGGCTTTAGGTAGTGTTTAGCAACATGTGGAACGACGAGTTATAGTGGCAGCCGCATTCTTTATCAATTCGCAAAACGACGCCGTTTTTGGATACGTCCTAGCTTCCAAAAGAGGAACGTGAAGTGGTAGAAACTTACTTACTGATCTTAGTTCAGACGACTTTGATCTCCTTCGCAATGAATTAAGAACTGACGGTAATTTCAAAAATTTCATGAAACTGAGTTTAGCTGACAAATTACTCGATAAAACACCTAATTGAAGCTCAATCGGAGGAGACGTGCCTCGACACGTGTGTCGCGGAGAAGAATTTTTTTTTTATGTACCGATCCTCAAGCGAAACCGAAAAAAAAGTCAGCGACTTTAATTTGCGACATAAAAGGTCGACAATTACAAAAATTACAAAATTGCAACACAATTTTTATACATATTTTTGTCACCCAGTATATAAAAGTATTAAAGTTTAAGTTATTATAAGTTAATCTTAAATTAATTTTTATTATAAGAACGGTTTCTTCATTATTATATTGATTTAAAACATTTAAAGAAATATGTAACATTGCAATGTTGGCCAATATTGGCACATTTAAAAATATAAAATACCTATCAATTATAAGTTTATTTAGAAGTCTAAATGATTTTTATTTATACGTTCTACGTTTAAAATTTAATAATAAAAACATTAATTTACTAATTGTATTCAAAATGTAATTGACCATTAAATAACCCTATGTACTAGGGTGTGCCAAAAAACCTCGATATTTTTTTTTTCTTGCTCTCAACCCAAAATATCGTAGAATATGTCCGAACAAATATTCTGTTAAAAGCGGAGCTCATAATTTCAATTTTAAGAGGTCCTCCATCGAATCTGAAGTTTTGCCGCTTAAATAACATAGAAAACTGACTTTTTTACCTTATTTATTCTTGCAACCTAGGAAGAAATTTTTTTTTCATAAAAATCATGACCAAATCTTACAAAGCATTAAATTTGGATGAAAAAATCTTATTAAGCCGAATTTCTATTTTCATTATTTGATTTTTTACAGAGCTTTAAATTTAAAATTTTACGTTTTTTGCCTTTTTCAGCTAAACTATTTAAGTTAGACGAAAAAGTCAAATAGCAATTTTTTAGCTTGTCTGATGGACCACAAAAAAGTTTAAGGCGAATTTTTTGTATCGTCAATATTCTTAAAGTTACAGGCGTATAAAGTCATCATTTTTGTATTATTAACTTTAAATTTAAAGCTCTTTAAAAAATCAAATATTGAAAATAGAAATTCAGCTTAATAAGATTTTTTTGTCCAAATTTAATGCTTTGTAAGAATTAGTCATGGATTTTATGAAAAAAAAATTTCTTCCTAGGTTGCAAGAATAAATAAGGTAAAAAAGTCAGTTTTCTGTGTTATTTAAGCGGCAAAACTTCAGATTCGATGGAGGACCTCTTAAAATTGAAATTATGAGCTCCGCTTTTAACAGAATATTTGTTCGGACATATTCTACGATATTTTGGGTTGAGACCAAGAAAAAAAAAATATCGAGGTTTTTTGGCACACCCTACTATGTACCTTTACAATTCATTTAAATTGTATTATTATTTTTATTACCAATAATAATAATTAGTTCAAAAAAACAATGTAAAAGTAACCAAGTTTTTTTTCGTTACGTAAGATGATTGCAGCAACGACATTTAAATAGCCTTACATAAAGTGAATATAAATTTATGTAAATTAGCTCACACCCAATTAAACTATTACAATGCAGTTTTAATGTGTGAAAAAAATGTATTAATACAAACTTACCATTTTCCTTATCTCCGCTACTTGCCGCTGACTCTGACATGGATGTTCCATCAACAAAGTGAACCTACCATAAAATTATTGATTTTAGGATTTAAGCACGCCCACTGTTGCCATATATAACGATCATTCAATAGAGCTAAATGTCATTCTAATTTTTAAATTTTACATTTAACAATATCAAATTTTTATTATTATATTATATTTTTTTTGGATAAAAGGAAATTCATTGAAACAAAATTTGACTTTTTAAAGCTGAAAAAGGGCCATTGACACATAGGTCAAATCATGAATAATTAAATATTTTTACGCGGCTTATATTTTTTATTTCATTGTAATTATCATTAGTATCATTGTATTGTTTATTTTTAGTTAATTAGTTTAATAATAGTATATTGTGCTACTAGTTCAAGAAAGAGGATATTCCTCGAGCAAGTTAGTCAGTTAAAATATCAAATAAAATTGGTTTTGAATTCCTTGCGGTAGTTGAATAAAATATTGTGTGCGACTATTGATCAAAAGAGAAGATTCCTCTCCTCTTTCTCCCACTAGTCGTAAATAAAATGGTATAATTTATTTAGAAACAATGTGAAATATTTTTCAAAAATGATGTGCAGAAAGTGGTAAATGGAACTTGAAAGAATGTGCAAAATCATAAGTGTGCATTTTGGACATCAATGTTATTTAAAAAATAATAAAATTAAATTAATCTCACACTTAAGCCTTACCACTAAGCCTTAACGCTAAATATCACTTAATAATAATTTACTCATATACTTATATTTATAAAAGCTAATTTATTAATTAAATTAACTTAATCATTGATTTGACCTAAAATCTTATGATTATAAAATGCTTGCAAACTACCTTTTGAGGTTATTAATTCATTATTTACCGCGTTTGGACCAATCATTAAATTCAATATCTGTCAGATCTATCTAACCTTACTTTCTACTTTAAATGTTGCCTTCATTTATAGACCAATAGGTAGGGCTGTTAAAAAAATGCGGGACATTTAGTGTCAATGTAATTGTGTTTTTGTGCTTTGCTTGATTGTAGGCCTCTGCTACGCATCGGCTCAGCACAAGAAGGCTTACTTATTAGCCTAATGATATAAATAACTATTTGTAACGCGTAATACGCGTTACTGTTAAACAGTAAAATAATAATATTAAAAGTTGACTGAATATAGTAAATTGACATACTGACAAGATACCATTTGAAAGTTTATTTTACATGCAAAGGACCCGCATGCGCGGGATTTAGCTGCACTCTTGCTTTTGCATTAAGGGTTGAATGACCCCTTAATTGAATCGGTGAGATTAAGAACAGTCCAAAATTTTATATTTTGACAAATCATTTTCTAAAATCTATTTAAAAGTTTAAAATGCTATTTTTTGAGAAGATATAAAATATTTTACAAAATATGATTATTATATTTTATAAAATGGTTAAAATAATCTCACAAAAATGTATTTTGGACTAAACACCTAATTTTATGAAATAATTAATCAAAATTTTAACTTTTGGACTTGTACTGTTCTCAATCTCACCGATTCAATTCCAAATGCTATCTGGGTGGTACAGTATACAAGTTATAACTTGCAAATGAACACTTTTTTGTAAATTAAAATTTTCTTATGTAAAAAAAATACCTTTAATTATTACTATATTCAACAATTATATTTTAATACACTAAAGTATGTGACTAGAATTTTAGGTAATATAATGTAATGTAATGTAAAAGTTAATTGTTCAAAATAATCCTTAAAAAATTACATTACATTAATTACTGCATTAATTACATTAATTACTGCATTTTTTGTTTACATTATAATTAGTCATACACATAGGTTTTTTTATGAAACTTTAAATAGAGCAGTGTGCAAGATTTGCTTGTTGAAGAAATTTTTATTAAATTTCATAAAAACGATAGGATCTATACAAAGAAAACTCGGTACCTTGGAATGACAAGGTTCTAAGTGCAGCTGCATTGTTAAGCGAAAATGACTTATCTACAATATTAAATATTGCAGATAAGGCAACTGTACTTTCCCTGCTTAAAATACCCCAAAGAGACCCTGTTCAAACCGATAGATATTTGTATCAAAATGTATGGTGTTTCTATAGGGTGTATCGGTGTATAGGACCCATAGTTGGGATTTATGGTTATTCTATAGGGATATCCACCCTTGATTTATTTGTTATTGGTTTCAATGGGGAAAATACATATAAATGTAGAAATTAATTTTTCCCCCATAGGACCCCATAGGTTTTAATAATATTTTGTCCAATGTTTTATGGTTGCACTAAAGGGATATCCCTATATATCCTTTATTGAGTTATTTGCTATCGGTCTGAATAGGGAAAATGTAAAAGTTATGGTGTGCCTATAGGTAGAGATGCGACTTAAAAAAACGGTTCGTTTTTTTTGTTTTTTTTCAGGTTTTTTTCATTGTTTTTTTTCAAATGTTTTTTTTTTACATTTTAGGTTTTTTTTCAAGATTAGTGCAATTTGCCTAATTTTTTATGTTTCCATGGACTAAAATTAGCCACTAAATCACAATTAGTAAATGTAATAATATTTATTGGTCTAAAGATAATGTAAATACAGTCTCGCGCTATGCACGCGCCACCACCACCAAATTGACCAATAAGGGCCGCGCTTGTTTTGATTTGGTCCTAAAAAAAGTAACTACATATAATATTTTTGATTCAGCGCTTGATTTTTCAAAAAGCCACCAAAAGCACTTTTTTCATGATTTTTCAAATTTATGTAGAGTATGGAAATTTTTTTTTCCAAAAAAACAATAGCAAATTCTTGTAGAACATTTATTCATTGGTGGTCAGAACATTCCGATTTTTTTATTACGGTATTTGTTAGAATTGAGCGTTGCACGTTTATCATCTAAAAATCTCAAAACTATAAACTTCTAGCTTCAAATTGCTTTTTTTACGGCTCCAATACGACCATTTTTAACAAAGATACAGCTATCCGAAAAATCGCAAAAACAATTTTTTATCCTTTAATTTTTTGTATTAGTGTAGAAGTTTTACATTGCTATTGGTTTTTAATGTGGAAACTACCAAATAATAAAAAATCAGATTTTTTTAGTCTTGGTCAAAATTTTTAATAATGAAAAATGTAATATATTCTACATTTTACTCAAAATTTTATTTTGAAGAAAATAAAAAAAAACCGTTTTTTTACATCTCTAGAAAATTTATAGGAAATTACCTATAGGCTATAGGTAATTTCCTATAAATTTTCTGTCGGGCTGTATCCAGAAAAAACCATGGACAAATGCACATATTGAATCCGGTAGCGCCCGATAGATTATTTTGTATAGGTCTCTATGGGGTATTTTAAGCAGAGTAAAACCTTGCTATTCTAAGGTACCGGAACTATAAACAATATGATATACATATTACATTAAAACTACTGCCACGCCGTGTCTTTTAACTAAAATTTGACACCCCTCATTTTTATATTGAAAAAAACTTTTGAGGAAAATGCTCAGAATCGCGCCCAAAAGTGCATCAAGTCTGGCGGCGGCCACATGGCCATTATTATTTTCTCGATTTGAACAGGAAAAAATGTAAAGGTCCAACTAAACATTATATACAAACAGAACCGATTTTTTTCAATTAAAAAAAAAATATAGCCTTGGGTGGTAACTTTTGGTATAAATAGTTGCAATTACATGTATTAAAAAAATAGTCAATTAATTATAAAATAATCACACTTGAAGAAAAAATGAGACAAGAAATTTTGGCTTAGATTATATAATAGCTCTTTTTAATTACTTACCATTTCATAAATACTTTTTTCAAAGTCAATGTTTAAAAGAGTTTCTTTTGTTCATAAATGCAAGGACCAAGAACAATAAATACTACAATTATTTGGAGAGAAAAATGTTTTATTTTTAAGATACAGGGTTTAAGGTTGTCCCAAAATAGCCTCATTAAAGTACCTGAACTTTTTAAATAAAATGAAATCGCGGGCAATTGGCGCTCTTTCCATGCATTTACTTTAATACTTCTTTACGACTAGCTATATATTTATTTAAAAAGGAAATATTCATAATTTTCATAGGAAACTTTTGTAGACAATTAAGTTTAACAAATGTTACCTCTGAATGATTTTTTATTAAAATTGGAAATAGAAAAAAATAATAAAATTAAAAACTTTAATACCCTTCATCTCAAAAACAAAACAAGATCTAAATGTTTAAGTTCCCAAATAATAATAATAAACACTATAAATAGTTAACCACGACAGAAGTTTTAACTAATTATTATATTATATATTATATTTAAATAACTTACTTTTTTATTGTTGTTGTTAATAATGGGTACATCTTTAACAGTACTTTTCTCTTCTGGTATAAAGCTAAACTGGTAGGGGTCAGAGCCACCCCAACATGTTAAGGCTTGATCTTCTGGTACATATGTAAAAATATCTTTTTTGCTTAAAAATTTAATTTTTTCTATAGCCTTTTCAGGAAGCCATGACTTTATTATTTTAAAGGCCGCTAAAAAATAATATTGTCTACATTTATAATATATTAAAATAATATCAATATTGTGTAATAATATTCTTTTCATGGCCAAAAATTGATTAAAGGTCATTTGATAACAATAAACAATAACAATTAGATAATATTTTATGATAGGTATAAATTATTTAATCAAAACTAACCACTTAGCACCCAAGGCATTTCAAAGATTAGAATATAATTTAGGAAAAAAGGATAATATGTTTTAAAAAGGCCAATTAGGTATTTAGTTAAGTCCATATCCATATTTCCTAATCCACATCCTTCCATATCGAAAAATATTGAAATTGGGTTTCCATGTTTTTCTCTACAAAATTAATTAATTAAAAAAACCAATTTACAATTGTTTATAATCACCTTTCCAATCGTTCAAACCAGTAAATAACACATCTTTTAATTTCATCCAAATCATTTACCCCTTTTTTGTGTTTAATACATTTAAAAACAAATATTGTACACCCATCCTTATCTTTGCCATGAGGAAAAAAACCACCTTGGACCAATATTTCCTTCTTTATGTTATCTTCACTTATTTCTACAATATATTTTTTGTAAATAAACATCTATAAGTTATTTTTCATACCATTAGTATTAAAATCTTTCCTCCACTTTAAACATTCCCACATCATTCCAATTGTCTGCTTTTGATTTCCTTCATTATGTTTTAAAAACCTTTCCAACCAATGATTGCTTGTTTTAATTCTGTCCAAGTCCTTTGGGTGGATAGCTAAAATGCATTTGATTACAATAAAAATAAAAAAGTTGGTAGGTACATAAGTACTTACAATCCTCTCCTTTATCATTTAGCTCCTCCAGAAAGGCTTTTCTCAAATCTTCAATTTGATTAGTTGAAATTTCCATTTTATATATCACAATTTTTCACAATAGTTATTTTATAGTATTATTTGATATACCAAAAAATTAAATTAAATTCAAAGTCCAAAGAACATACACTTCAATTTTCACACCAATCATTCGAAAATCTAAAATCAAACTGACGTAAAAAAGTAAATGTCAAATCAAATGTTTTTTTCAGGGACACCAACTTTTTATGACCAACATCTTAAAACAAAAACCCACAATCCACACATTGTGCAAAAACCTTTGTCTATTGTTTAGGAACAAACACATACTGCTGCCAAACAAAAATTTAATTAAGAATTCTCCAAATTGATATTTTCTCGGATATACGCATATACCTAATATAATATTAAAAATAAACACATTTTCTTTGTTTGCTCAATAATAAATTATTATTAATTTTTGCTTTCTCGCAATCTCGGAACGTAACGTTTCGTGGCGTAATTTGAAATTACTAATTTCATTCGGCTTTAGAAGTTTTTAGGTTAGGCTTTAGAAGTTTTTAGGTTAAGCAACTGTCAAGATGAAGTTTGCTTTGCTGATCTTTATTTTTTCTTATGCAGTTAGTTTTTTTTGAATATTTAAATATTTCTAAGTCTTCATTCCTTACCTTTTTAGGCAATAAACGGTGAATTTACAACAGAAGATTGTTGGACCCTAGGATTTAATAAAGCCAATTTACAATGTTCGTCATGTGAACAGTTGCCAAAGTTTAGTTTAGATGTTATAAAGTATGTATATTGAAATATTGATATTCATATTTATTTATCCTTAATAATTATTCTTAAGATGTGCAACAATGTTGGTGAAACTGTTAAAATATGCTTTAATAGCAGTAAATATAAATAATTGTAAGAACTCATAGCTTAATATTACCTATATGGATAATATAGTTATCCAATTTAAAGTGATCATATTAAAGACTTACATATTGTATACCTATATACTTTTAATTTTATGGCAATATTTCACTAATTAGCATGGTATATTTTTAAAATTTAGCATGATACTTCATCACTTGTGGGTGTGTTTGATTTTAGTCCAACGTTAGCAGTGAAAAATCGCCATAAAATTAAAAATTTGCAGTTATGGTGGTATTGAACTGGATGTACGATCTATCTAGTAGGGATGCAACGGATTTGATTTTGGCCGGATTACCAGACGCAGTAATCCGGCGTCATCGGCCGGATTTTACTGTAAAATTTTTACAGTGTTTTTAGTAGTTACAGTTTCTGTTTTAGTATTATGGAAATCTTGCACTTAGTTACCAATGTTTTAATTGATTTTATCAAAAAAAAAAATTATAATAATTTGAGACTTAGACACTTTTTGTGTTGAAATGTTTTTATTTTGTCAAAAAATAAGGCATATTTTAAGGAAAAAGATTTATTATAATATAATGTAGTAAAAAAATATATAAAGTGTGAACAAAACTTAAGGCTACACGGAGAAAAAAGTTTATTGCTCCCAAATAAAAAAAATATTTAAATATGGGACAAGGGTACAGTTTATTTATCCTAAATATATTTTTATTCACGACATATAAAGTTTTACCAAAGTATATTTATCGTTATTATTTCGACTATTTAGAGGTAATAAACAATATATTCACTACAAATAAAAGTATTAGGTAAACAGTTTATTTGTCCCATTTTTTTCTCAGTGTATAAAAACATAATATGAATGACAAGAAACGCTAACAAAAAAAGATTACAACATGATAAGTAAAACAAAACTTAAAGCAAAACTAAAAACATAATAAGAAGGCTGGCTATTCATAAACAGCGTCGGCCTCTTGTAACTGATTCATCTCTTTATCAATGTCATCATTTTGCTGGTTACTAGTATGTTTTAAGGTACTTAACACAATCTGTTGTATTTTACTGCACTTACCTGCCATAGTTATGTTTTTAATCACAGACAAAAGTTATTAGGATTTACACAGCTTAATAGGTAATTTGCTCAGATGTAACCTAATTTAAATATCGTGGACTAAGGCACATGTTTAATTGTATCTGTCAAAATGATGACATTGAAAACCAGGTAAACTACCATTGAAGGACTTAGGTACTTCTTTCATTGAAAACCTGGCAAACACCCATTGAAGTAAATGCAAACTAAGGCACTTAGACACATATTTCTGCCACTCTGCAAATACCAACTAAAAGCTTATGTGAAAAACTTTTGGATAACGCCATGTCAATTTTTTTGAAAATAAAAAATAAAAAAGTATTATACAGTATAATACATACCTACACCCTAGGGTGTAGGTATGTATGCATAATTAGTGAGCCATGGCTCACTAACATACCAGATGGATATTTAAAATCGTATTTTATTTTTGTGTCTGCACCGCCTCCGCAGGATGTTAGTGAAAGTAACAAAACACAAAAAAAAAATTTTGTGTACATTGCCTCCCAAGATAAATACACCTTATTGATTGATTGCCTCCTGACAAAATAACAAAAACAAAACAAATCAGATAAATTCAAAAACATAGTCTATGTTACTTCCTGGCCCATATACTATCTCCATTAATTAATTTTGTTTATGTCAGGTTAAGAAGAAACCATCTTTTAGCAAATTTCATGAATTTTAGGTGTTAATTTTGCGCATTGTAAATGATCATTTTGTGTTAATTATGAGTATAATTGAAACCACTTATTTATTCCACTAATTACAAGGTTCTGAATAAGGCTTTAAGGTGTAGATTTTGGAAAATTACAAGTTCTTCGATTTTTTATAAATTTATCAACGCAAAAATTCACAAATTCTGGACATTTTGGAAATTTGGCAACGTCGCAAAAATTTCTTGGTTCTGGGAAATTTGAAAAAAAATAGAATACAACAAAAGTACAAAAAAAGTGGTCTATGTTACGCTTCTGCCCATATACTACCTCTATCTGTATAGATGCAGGGACGTATTTACATAAGGGCGAATGGGGCAATCGCCGGGGTAGCCAGTCCCAGAGGGGCGGCTGAAGGCCGCTTGTCTGTGTTTTAGCAGGCATTTTCGATTATCTTCCCTGCTATTTTACATACAATAATTTTTGTAATTAAGGCGAATTCACACAAAATGTCCCGACTTTTTGTACAGAAATAAATTTAAACACATTGTTTTCTTATATTATCGTTGGTCCAGCAATATCTTTTATTTGCAAAATTCTAAATTTACAGGTTGTACCAAAATTGTCGGCCCAAAGGGTAAAGGTAAATTCCTCTTAAAATTACAGGACAAATTTTTCTTTACCATTTTTTGAAATTCGCAAAGTTGAAGAAATAATTTAGTTTTTAAATCTGCTAATGAGGGTGTCCCAAAAGGTAAAGGTGAATTTCAAGATGAAGATACCATTTTTTTGAATTTCATCTAGATTTCAAAGTATGTTCTATATGACGAGCCCCATATTTTGACTCGGCCGGCGCTTGCGACAACACATACCGAATTTGTTTTTTTCCGACAGTGCAGAAATACTACCCACTCATTGGTGACTTTAAAAATTAAATAACTCATGCAATTTTGCGAATTCGAAAAAATGGCAAGGACAATTTTGGAATTTTAAAACGGACTTTGGGCCGCCGATTTTGGGACAGCCTGTGTATTATTTATTTTACACATATTATTCTGGATTAAAGCTAAAATACCAAGGTTTCAGCATTAATTAATAAATTTACTCCTTCACTAAACGGTTTTAATTACATTAAGTACATACATTACATTACTAATTACACAGTAGCTGTCCTTTTTAACATATTATGTTTCTAAGATTATCGTTTTTTGTTTATAATTTTTTACTAATATGTGAAGCTTTTCAAGAAAAGGGACCTAGGCGTTAAAAAAACGATTTCTTGATTTTAATCGTTATAGAGTAATTAAAGACTCCTCTTTAATTAACTGATCACATAATTTGTATAATAAATTTATTTACTTGAATATTGATACCAAATATATATAATAAATTTATTTATTTTAGAGAGCACTGCCTAGAATGTTGCCACAATGATGACTCAGGAGTATCAGAAAAAATATATGCCAAAGCAGTTTTAGAAGTGTGCACTTGTAAATTTGGTGCATATCCCCAAATTCAAGCATTCATAAAAAGTGATAAACCATCACAGTTTCCCAACTTACAAATTAAGTATTTAAGAGGTTTGGACCCTATTATTAAGTTATTTGATAAAGATGGACATTTAAAAGAAACTGTGGCAATTGAAAAATGGAACACTGATTCTGTAGAAGAATTTTTGAAAACACATTTAATAGGAAAGTCAGATAGCAATAATGATTATTTAAGAACAAATATGGTGTAAATTATTAGTTAATAAACATTTTTACTTTAAAAAATTTATTTATTTAGGTATGTCAATAACATTAAGGTTCATTTTTAATACAAGCTATATTATCAGTTATGTTAATATTTGGCACCTTTTTTAACTTTTTTTCATATTTCTTAATTGTTTTTTCACTACACTCACTTTGTCCTGACCATTTTATGTATGCATTTAACACTTTCTTTTGCAATTTTTTAGTTGATATGCTTTCTTTACCAGTTAAAATTTCCAAAATTTTTCCTTGGAAGCTAAATTTGTCAATATCTTCTTGGACTTTATCTGCTTTTAACTTTTTGGATTGCTCTTTAGGTTTAGCATCAGTATTTTTTCGTTTTTTCATGTTTTCTTCATTTTTTTCCTGTTTTGGATTTGGTGTGGTATTTTGAGTTGTAGGCTTCTGTTGATTTTTGTATTTTTCAATGATATTCCAAATAGCTTCAACATCTTTTAAATTAGCTCTACCACCTGAAGAGCTCTTGATAAAATTCTAAAAACAAAAAATCATTAATACAATACATATACCTACACATAAAGAAAACTAAACATACTATGAATTTTTGCTTCTTTCTTGGAATGTTATTGTAACTAGAAATTGTATTTAATAAATTTTTATGAGGAGGAGGCAAATTTGGTTCTGTATCAATTATAGACTTTATCATATCCACCCAGGATTCCTGTTTAACCTCTCCTTTTTTAATAACACCATTGGGTAGCGATCCTTTAGCTGCATATCTTTCTTCTTCAGTTATGCATTTCGTATGGGCTACATATTCTTCCCCACTAAAATTTTATATATTATAAAAATTTTAAAATATAATTTAAAGGCTATTTACCGAAAGTCCTTAAAACAGTCAACACATGTGATGAACTTTTCAGTTCTGCAGACAAAACTGTAATGTTTTTCCACCCTGGGCTTTTGCAGACTCTCTCCGCAATAATTACAAGTAAAAACCACCATAATAACTTTAACAAGGTTTTAACAGCAAATACAACACAATTTAAAAGCTTGCAGAAGAGGTTAACTATAACATAACCATCAAATCACAATAATCAGTAATGCCAACAACAAAAATTAAATCAAGAAGATTAAATAAAGGAGGAGCAACTCTTGAGTCAAGACTCGAGTCTTGATTATAGTATAGATTCTAATTTAGATTTTTTTAATCATTATGATATCATTTTACTTTTGCAGTATTTTTAACCGTAACGGTATTCTGAGTTCTTTATCCACAGTAATTCATACCCTCCATAATTGCACATGTGGGCGGTGCTTTCTCATGAGGTAATCATTAAAAATTACAGAATCTTATGAGGAGTTATCACGGTGATATCACCTTTAAAAATATATGTCACACCAATTTATGATTTTGGGGGCCTGCAAGTTCCCCGCGGGCTACCACGTGGATCGCTAGGGGTACGGGTGGGGGCGTTAATAGTAAATTAAAATTCGTCCCCTTAAAAATAAAAATTGACATTTCCAAGGAATTTTGTCCACATTCATCCGTTAAAATGTTTGGGGGGTACAAGTTTTCTTTGGAACACCCTGTATATTTTTTTTTAATTCTGGTTTTTAAAGCATATATTTCGAGATAAAAACACAAAATGTTTTTTTTCATTTGGGCCGCTTTTGCAGTATACGACTCATCTAACAAATAAATTATTAAAATATAAAGGTAAACATGAAATAAAATTTATTTACCTATTACGCAGTTTACATCTTTTTCGCGTAAATACCATGAAATACTATGGTTATTAAACTTAACCTTGGTTAATAGTTAAGGCATTTTTGCGTTTAGAGTGCGTTCAAAAATCCTAACTATGACGTCACAAATACCAGCTAGTTATTCAACTTGGTTAATAGTCTTTCTCTTTTTAATATATATTTTTCTCTGTATCGATCTGTCAAAAAGTTGTTTACATTTGAAATTTAAAATATTTTAAGTAGGTACAATAATTGTACTACAATTGCTCTTAAACCGAATTTAAACTTTGTATTAAAATGGTAAATGGTGTGTTGTCAGTAAAAATAAATGATAGGGAGCTCCATATCAGAGACAAGGGTCTCTGCTCCATATCGTGGAATCTCCACAAGTGAAGGAATTATATTTAGGTTTGTTTTATATTCTTCCTTATTTTATATTAAACATGTAGGAGAATTAGATAACGTGTATTGAAAAAACTAGTACCTATAGAAAAAGAATATACTAGGTATAAGAAGAGGCAAAGAAATTTATTTACACCGGTAAAAGCATAGAAATTAAATATAAATAGGTAAAAACCACAGACCTACAGGTCCTGTAGGTCTGTGGTAAAAACACATTTCAAAAATTATAGGTTATGAACAAGTAAACAAATGTCAAATGTTAGAAACCTAACCATGGTTCTTCTTCTTCTTCTTTGGTTTGATTGGCCTTTCCCTTTCGGGATTTAGCCAGCTGTATTTTATTATTATTATACTGGAAAAAGCGAGTCTAGGATAACCTATAGCTTCTCCTTTTCTTCTTGGTTTTATAGTTTATTAATTATTATTATTTATGTCACTTCTAGATTATTTTTTCACTTATAGTCTTTTTATTCACTTATGTCCATCACTATCATTTTTGTCTTTTTTAGAGTTTATTCAATAAAGCTTATATCAGCAGCGAAAGTCACTTTTATTACACTTTTACACATACAAAATCACGATATTAGCAGCGGAAGTTACGAATAGTTCATAAAACATTTTTTTATTATAGCATTACGGTTCGAGCTTAACAAAACTTATCGGTACACTTATAATTTAAAGTCATTCTTATTTCACTAGTACACTAATGTCTCAAACATAAACTAAATCACGATACACGCAGCGGAAGTCATACAAAAACAATAGAGGGCAAAAAAAAATAGCAAAAAAAACCCACGATGCACTACATGGCGGTTTGCACATGACTATTCAATCTTTTAATATTTCGACCATCCTTTGTGGGAACTTATTGCATCTTCACAAATCTAATGTAGATTTTGGACTTTTGGCACTGATCAGCTTAATTTTGTGCTGTGAGCCCCATATTGTCCTCCCAAGGACTCTTGTCACTTCAGCGGACAACACAGAACTGTATGAACCATGGTTATATGAATTGACCATATGCAAGGAATGCGGTCGATGTTGCCAATGGTAAAAAAATAAAATTCTCTATTGGGAACATTCAATTATATGACGTTGGCTACACTGAAATTTTGAATTTCCCGCACAAACTGACATACATTCTAGTAGTTCCCAGAGATAAAGAAGGTAGTTCCAATGTTGTATAATAAATTAAGGTGCGAATTTCAAATATGGGAATTATTATTATTAAAAAAAAAGATGGAAATTAATTTAGTTTGTGCGGGAAATTCAAATTTTCAACGTACGGCCATTTCAAGCGCGCGAAACGCACGAATTACAAAACTGTTTTTATAAAAAAAATTGTAGATTATTTATTATATAATATTTTGGCATCAAAATTGTCAAAAATATTCTTCTTTTATTAGGTTATACATTAAATTAAAAAAAACGCAAGAAATATTTTATGAAAGTAGATATAATTTTAATAATTGAAAGGGGTGGACGGGACAAAAAAAAGATTTATCTTGTCCCGTCCACCCCTGTCATTTATTGAAATTATCTCTACTTTTATAAAATATTTCTTGCGATTTTTTTTATGTAATGTATAGCCTAATAATAGAAGAATATATTTGACAATTTTAATGCAAAAATAATATATAATAAATTACCTACAATTTTTTTTATAAAAACAGTTTTGTGATTTGTCCCGTCCATCCGCTTGAAATGGCCGCGTAGCCAACGTAATATAATTGAATGTTCCCAATAGGGAATTTTATTTTTTTACCATTGGCAACATCGACCGCATTCCTTGCATATGGTCAATTAACTGTGACGTCATGACTTATTTAACCGTAGTATTACATACTATGTAATATGTAATACATAGTATTTAGTAAATACTATTTACGCGAAAAAACGACTCTAGTTAATTCTTCTTCTTCTAGCCACAACATTTTGGGTCACTTTATTAAATAAGTGTAATCTATAACGTGGGCTTTTTAATAATAAATATGAAAAATAAAATAAATAAATAAAATAACTAAAGTTTTTATTGCATAGGTATTCAGTACAATACAGAACATATAATACAAAATATACAAAAGGCCATCGACCGGGGTCCTTCAGCCTGAAATATGAAAAATTCCTTAATTTTAACAATTTTTACCAAAAAATTCTCTTTTCCCTTTTTGGTACCAAAATTCCCTAAAAAGGGAATATTCCCTGCAGTTGGGAACACGGGCAACACTGTGTTATATATGCACTTGACAGTTGGAATTTTTAGGGTTAGATTGATATCGGCTTTGGAAACATTAAATTTATTACTGTTAAATTGCAAATCTTTTTATAATGATAGATAAAATAATCCGCGCTTTGGAAGCTGTGGGGTAATTTTCTATAAACCTATTTATTTTTTGTAACAATTCCATAAAAAATGTTTTATTTTGACAGATATAAGGGCCTTTTAATAAATAAAACTGAATTAATTGCGGCTATTGATGGGGGACAGAAAAGTATACCTTATACAGAATTAGTAAAATATGTTACAAACGAAATCAGGACTCTAAGTAATATAGATGAGGAAGTTAATGCAATTTCTACCCCAGAAGATTCTGTGTCATTTGTAATGGAATTAAGCTCATTTCTTAAAGAATTAAGTAAGCGAATTTAAATGTTTTAGTAAATTATTTAAGTATTTTATTATTTTAGATTGTCCTTATAGGGATTTAACAAAAGGACATGTGTCTGATAGGTTACAAAACACATCTGATCGATTAACAGTGCTAGATTATTTATTAACTGAGTTAATGGGTGCTCGAATTACACAAGAAACTAAACCAGAGAAAAAAATCGAGTTAAAATTAGTAAGTACAATTAACTAAGCAACTATTATTTTTTTATTTTCCATATTGTTGCATATTATAATTTTAATTCCTACCCTAGTAGCAATGGAATGGGACAAGATTCTCCGGCAAGATACTTGGAGAAGCACTTTATATGCAATTTGACAATTCTTGATCAAGAAACTTGACCAAGATTCTTTATCCAGACTGGCTCCAGACTTGGGCCAGTCTTTGACCAGAATTTGACCAGATTCTTGGCCCAGAGTCTTGAGATAGACTTACGTGAGAAACTGAAAAGACAACAAGCGCTCCTCCTATTTCCCTACTTTCACTTGAAAGTGAAAAATATAGCATTGCAGTGGTTCTCAATTATAATGTAGTCAATAAGTTTGAAAACGTCAGTTCTTTACAGTTTAGCGTTGAGTTTAAAATAATGCCTCCAAAAAATTGATTTCAGAATTTTTTTATTTTTACCTTGTCACTAATAAACGAACCTCTACTCTATAGGATAGTCCCTATGTTTAGTAACAGATGGCCTCAGACTTCTGGTCAAATTCTTGACCAATTCTGGCCACAGTCTGGCCCAAGTCTTGCCCAATGATCTTGATCAAGAATCTGGACCAATTCTTGTACAATTCTTGATCAACAATCTGTTCCAAGTATCTTGACCCATGCTGGCACAAGGCTTTTCCCAAATTGCTACTAGGGATATTGATACACATGATTGCTGCACACTATACAATTATTGATATTCACAAATCAGTTCCAGGTTTTTGCCAATCAGGTTCGGTAATGATGTGCAACTTATGAGTCGTTAAGTTCTTTTCGACAAATAGTTTTTCAGTGATAAGGGTTTAATAACACTTCTATTTTCTTTATTTTAATTTTTTAATTAGCAAAGTACCGGAATTTGCTGAATTTTTAAAAATATGTAAAATGCAAAATAGTTTAATATAACTTTTACGCATATTTCAATTATTTAAGTAATAGAAACATAACAGGGCTCTTGTGGAAATTTTTCTCTAAAAAAGTTTTAATAAGTAAAAGAAAGAGTTTTGAAAGAAATTTCAGCTTCAAATTTTGTGTCCGTTATGAGTAAAGAAACAAGTGATATTGCAAATATTTTCCAAATGGTTATAGTTTACCGTTATACTCTAGAAAACGACACATAAAACCAAATGAACACGATGCTGTTGCCTTAGCTGGATACATAGAAGAAGCTTTAAATTATGATTTAAAAATTTCTGATCAGTTAATTTCCCAAAGTTATAACTGAGCAAGTGACACAAGTGGCACTCACCCATGGTGGTGTGCAAAAATTAAATTTAAATATGCCCATTATATTTATTGCTATGCGCGTCTTATAAGATATATCTAGTTCGGGATTAACTCTGCGAAAACACCTATTATAATTGTACGTTTCATGTATCGTTTGACAAATAAAATTGTGCCTTGAAGATAAATTATACCCTAAAGAAGTATCGCTAGTAGCGCCACCACTCGGCTGTTATCATCGTAACAAAAGTATAACTTTTAATAATCAGCTGTAAAACGCTTATGTTACAAACGAGTGTTTTTGATAATAAAGCCGGAAAATGTTAAAAAATATCGAAAAAAAACCGTGGCTCGATTTGTTGTGTTGTTGGGTGTATTTCGAGAGGAAATCCTGGGTTGACTTTTTACCGGTTTTCCAATAAACAGTTAATCTGAATGAATACAGTCTCTGTAAATATAAATTGTACCTATTAGATACAATAAATACACATTTTAGTAGTGATTAACGTGAAAAGTGTAAATATTTCAATTCAGTAAATATCGTCAAACAAATAAGTCGTCTAAATTTAAACAGCATTTAGCATTATTGATCCATTGAAAAAAATAAACTTTTTGTTTTCCCTGTATACCTATCAATTTTCCAATTTTCTTTATACGTAGAAAAAAAGTATTTTTTAGTTCCTACATAACCAAACTTTTAAATTTTTTGGTACACTTAAAATAAAAAAGTTAAAGGGGGGCGACATTATAGGGGATCACCCTGTACAAAGCAACCAGGTAATAGGGACCAGAAAAAGGTAGGCAACCTAGCTGTTACATATTCTGTATGTTGTATGCTTTCCATTGGAATTTCGTTCATTTGGCAAGCAAGTCGGTGAAATTTAAAAAATTAATTATTTTTTTTTAATTTTTTATTTATTATAGCTAGCCTTGATCATATTTTTTATGGCAACCCTATGGGTTTATGTTCAGAAACATATTTTATTTGATAAAATATAATTTTCATCTGGTAAGCAGATGGGTGAAGGTCGACCTTACTTGGGATCCTCTACTATACCTATTTATTTAAAAATGTATAATGTATAATCTGTGCATTAAATGTATTGTTGACAATTCTTAAATTCACGCAATGCTATTGAAGTCCACCAGATGGCGCGCGCGTTGCGAAAACCCGATACTTTAGCGGATTGTATGCCATGTCACATGGCCCATGTGGTTCAGAAGTGTCTTTTTGTGCTTCGTTAATTGTAGGTCTCCGCTATGCGTCACCCTTCACACTTTGAGCTCAACACAAAAATACAAATTTCTCAGCCTAATGACATAATTAACTATTATAAAATGTTTTTAGCAAGAAACATCTGAAGCAGCTGATATGCGAATTATTTTACAAACGCTAAGGTTTCCAAAACCTCCGGCCAATATATCTATTCCAACTTTATTTCAAAAATTAGTTCCCACAGTAGGTATAGTTTTACAAAAAGCTGGGGTAAATCTTGTTGGAGAGGGCATATTTAAAGGAGAATTGTCAAACCAACAGTGGGAAACCTTATCCAAAGTGCAAGAAGATTTAAACAATGAATACAAAATAAGAAGGGAAATGATATTAACTCGTTTGGATGTGACAGTGCAATCTTTTCAGGTATATAAATTACTATTATTAATTATTGATATTTTAAATTGCTTATGCAAATTATTTTAATTTTAGTGGTCTGATAAAACTAAAGGAAAGGATGAATTATTTGAAAAATTATATGTTTCCAAAAGAAAGATGCTTAAAGTTGAGCCAGATGTTGATCTCAGTGATTTGTTAGCTGCCAGGACTGACTTAGCCATTATTGAAAAAACCTCAAATTCATCTGTTAGAAAAAATACACGCACATCGCTTAATAAAGTTATTATTGGAAAAGTAAGTACTATTTAACACTTTAATTACTATATAATATTTTTAAATATTAGTTTTATAATCAAATAATATGTTCCAGATCATAGTTTGGTGGTAGGTACATAATTGCAATCAATATTTAAAAAAACAAAAAAAAAACAGGTACAATAATTTACAATAAAGTACCTATATTCTGACAATATTTAACATTGATATCTTAATTGGGTATTTTAAGAAGTAAGGGGTGTAAATTGCTTCTGAAGCAACATCCTATATGAAATTTTATAAAAATGTGTATATAAACCTTATATTTTAAAGTGAAATATAAATTATATTTAATTTTCCTTAATAATTATTAATTAAATTAAATTTTTAATAATTATAATTATTAAAAATTTTGACTGACACTAAAAAATTGCAACACAAGAAAATCTATGGCACGCCGTTTTAGTTTTTAATGTCATGTTTATTAAAGCTAAATATTAATTCAAGTTGCGTTTTTAAAAATTGACTGAACATTTTAAAGTAAAAATTTTATGATGTTTTGGTATATTAAGTACACAGTTTTAAGCACAGAATAAGAATTAAAGTAATTTTAATTCTGGAACTGAATGGCGTATTTTCTGACTAAAAAATTCGATGAATTAAAATTTGGATTGAGATTATTTTAATAAGGCGCGACATTTATTAAAGAAAAAGTAATACTGAAATTATCATTATGTCGCAATTAATTTCTATTATTACTCGTCGACATAAAAATCAATTTACCTTTTAGAAATTAAAGTGATAAAGTTTCTTATTCGACACACAAATATTTTGCACGAAATATTTGTTTTAATATTTAAATGTTTTTAATATTACTTAAAATTTTATTTGACTAATAAGAATTGAACACAATTTTATTTTTATTATTATTTTTTAAAATTTTAATATTTACTTTTAATACGAATTATTTTGTTGTTTAAAACACTTTGAAACAATTTTTATTCGGGAATAAAGTTGTGGTATAGTTGTTATTAATTATTATGTTATTTAAATGTAGCAATACGAATTTTTATTTAAGCACCTTTCTGTCATATTTCTTTTAATCAGATTATTTTTTTAGATAATAAATTCAATGCTACTTGTATGTGACAGAATAATAATTCCTTACTTTTATTTTTTGGAATAAATATTATGTACCTCGAATTTTCTGACTGAAAAATTCGATGAATTAAAATGTTGGTTATCACTCGTAAACAGAATTTTAATTTGGCGCTAGTGCATAGTACGGTTGTGTTACGTACTACTGCCACCAAGCAAAATCACTTAACTTCGAAGGCAACGGTGCATTCAAATTCAGTGCTGCCATTTTATTAATTACCTGTTTTGCTTTCCTTAATTTCTTATCTAATTTATTAATTAATTTTTTGAAATAAAAATAAAGAAAATCTTTTTTACTAAAATATTGGTTTTTATTGACTAAAAGATAAAAAACAATACAATATTTTCAATCCACCATTAATTACATTCATTAAGTTTGTGTGATTATTTATACTGTACAGGTAGTCGGCTCGGACACGTAACGATTCTGGTAATTATATAAATATCTTCTTCTGCGAGAAATCCTATTGCATAGACAACTAACCAAATAGTCAACCACAATTAAATTGAGAGTCTGAAATCCATATCTAAATTATTTCGTATAAAGTAAGGTTAGCCAGCAGGGCAGTTTTGTTGAAATGCACCCCTTACATAATTTAATAATCATAATCATGTCGATATCCATTATTGATAGCACTGAAAATTTTGGACTGCACTGTTGCCTAATTTATTTTCGAGCTTATGTACTTCGACGTTATGTGGTTTCGCTTGGAGGCAGTAGTACGTAACACAACCGCACTATGCACTAGCGCCAAATTAAAATTCTGTTTACGAGTGTTTAGAGGTGCCGCGAGACACGAGACACGAGACGTCTCGTCTCGTCTCGTCTCGTCTCGAAGCCATTTTGTCTCGTCTCGAGAGCATTTTGTCTCGAATTTCGAGACGAGACGAGACGAGATAACATCCTTCGAGACAAGGCGAGACGAGACGAGACGAGACATATTCGAGACATATTCGAAATATTTTAATGACTTAATACGCTTTAAACGAATGATAATAACAGCATTTAACCCTTAAGTAGTCGCGTGGTCGGTGTGACGTTACTTCTCGCGTGGGGCCATATGGCCCCAATGGGTAAATATGGCTATTTTTCCAGTTTTTTTTCTTCTAAAAAATTAATTAGGCATCGTGTTATCATTTTAACATAATTTTATTGTCAAATACATAAAAAAATTTAGTTTTCGTAGCACTAGGCGCAAAGATTTCTCTGGTGATCTTGGCATACATACATTTTACCTGATAAAATAATAAATGATTAATTTTGCAAAAAAATACCTTTGCGTTATTTCAAATTGTTATTTTATTTACCTTCAAGTATTATGATAAACCAAAAGATTATACATACTTTTTTTATACCTAAAAATCCGAAACTACAATTACCTTAAGGTAACTTTCATTAAATTTGAAATAATGCGGTTCAAGAATGATTTTACAGACCTTTAAATGTCATTTTTTTAAATAATATAGTTTAATATTATATAAAATAATTTAATATTAGCAATATCCACTCGTCGTCTTTTATTTAATTGTCGCAAGATTTCACCAACGTGAGTTCTCGCGTGGGGACATATAGCCCCAAGCCGTGCACCGGCTTAATGTATCAGCTGTAGAAAAAAAACAGTTGCAGGGAATACATTTTTGGTGGGTGTATGAAGCTCTCAAACCTTCATTTGAGGAATAATTCAGGGACAGAATTTAAAAAAAAAATCAGCCAAGAAGCTATAGGACTTTAAAGTGCGGCTGGGGCCACATGGCCCCACGCGACTACTTAAAGGTTAAGTTTTAATAATTGTTTTTAACCTCAGAATTAGCAAAAAACAGCATTATAGGGTATGAGCTGGTAATACGTGCATATAAATTGTTAAAATAAAACTTGTAATAAAATATAAAACCTTTATTCAAAAACTGCATGGTGTTTTCGAGGACATACATACATACCTTATAGAAAATAAACAGTAAAAAAGAAACCAAATAAATGTATTTTATAATAAACAAAATAAATCAATAAACTCTAAACTGAAAATAAATATTAAATATATCATTAACATTGTTAGTACGAATATCACATTACAGGGAAACAGGTAACTAAATAAATCCTAAATCATTAAAAAATATTTAGGTATTACTGCATGGGGTAAGTATTGGAATAGGTAAGTTTCACTAATCAAAGTTTAGCTTATCTTTTAACGTACCTACAAGTGTACCATGAATTAAGACATAATAATGAACGAGCCGACTCAGCATTAGGTCGATTCCGAAGTTCAGTGACTACTAATCCAGCTTTTGAAAAAAGGCGTTCTGAAGGAACGCTTGTTGCGGTAATACTTAATAAGTCTCTTGCCATCTTTGAAATGTGTGGATAATTTACTTCATTTCTTTTCCACCATTCCATCAATATTTTCCCTTTTGATGCTCTCTCTGAATAAAAGTATGCGTTTAGTTCTTGTTTCCAAAACTCTTCAGTTTCGGATTGAGGAGTAGCCTTTTTGAATAAAAATTCAATATCCATGTCTTCATCTGATCCAGATTGTTCTTCAGTTTCTTGTATAGGTGGAATTGGCCTAGTCGGTGCGTATTTTTCACAATAAATTGTTTCAAAATTTTGGTATGATTTATTTTTTATTTCTGCACCACAGAAAGTCATTGAAAAGGTTTCCAATTTGTGACGTGGATCTATTAAGAGTGAGGCGAATAACTGCGTTATCATTTTAGTTTATCCCACTTTTAAGAGCTTATATCTTTTTTGTTTTTTGAGTAAGACATTTTTTATTGAATTTATCCGATAATTCAAAATTATATTGAGATAAACCAAAAAACCAAAACAATTCGAGACAAACGAGACAAAACGAGACGAGACGAGATAAGGCCTTGTCTCGTCTCGTCTCGAACTTGTCTCGTCTCGTCTCGAAAAATGTTATCTCGAAATTTCGAGACGAGACGAGACAAGGCCTTATCTCGTCTCGTCTCGTCTCGCGGTAACTCTACGAGTGTTAAACAACATTTTAATTCATCGAATTTTTCATCGAGAAAATTCGCCTTGCGCTTACAAATTTAAATCGTGTCTAAATTTTTATTCCAAAATAAATATTGTACTCTAACTTAATTTTAAATTTATAAATGAAATATTATTTACATATAAGCACCTTTTTTAATTAGAAAAAAAATATTCATACAACAAAAACTGAGGCTTAAAAATATAGACAAATATAGACAAACAACTATTAGGTGAGTTCGGGATTGCTACACCGTTCACACCGTGCGCACTTAGCAGTTCGGGTATGCAATTAATGTAAAAAGTGTGATTGTAATTGCGTTCGGGTATTTTAGTGTGGTGTGAACGGTGTTTGCACCAAACGCCCCGACTTGTGAGCTAGGGCTTTGGTGCGGGCATGCGCTTTAGGTAGGTATTACATTTTTGAATTAAAAGTTTTACCCATGGAACAACACAACAACAGGTGTTGTTCTATGGTTTTAACCTTACAAATTGAAAGTTACAATTGTTAACAATTCTGTGATAATAACAACGGTGATACCTACATAATTTTGCTATAATCTGTTATAATGGAAGAAATTTCAAAGAAAACCTATTGCCCTGTGCAAGATACGCAGGGAAACATTATAATTAAGGAAAATAAAATTTTGTTATGCAGTAAGAAAAGTAAGTGGGTTAAAGGCTGCATTTATTCGTAATAAAATTTATCTATGGTTATGAATCTGTAATAAAATTTATCTATGGTTATGAATCTGTCAAATATCACACCATAAAAACACCGAAGCGTTCGGGTTGCGAATCATAGGTTTCTCTTGCGAATGCACTTTTAACTCCCTACTCCAACACTACACCGCACTACACTTACACCAAACCGCAATCCCGAACTCACCTAATGATGTAAATATATTTATATATTTATCAAATAAACCAAAAAATAAATTAGTAGATTTTAATTTATAATTAAACTTAATTTTGTAATTTTTATGAACGTTTATATTTTCTGGGCAATTTTTAATTTTGATAATTTTTGTTTTGAGTTAATTTTTTGATGTCATTAAAAAGTAAAACGGCGTGCCATAAAAATCACAATATTGTAATTTATATTTAAATCATAATTTAAACTAAAATATTTAACATAATATGATTTTTTTATGTTGAAACTTTTTTAATGCAATTCTTTTTTAATATTGCATGATTTATTCAATGTTTAAACTTATTCATACAAACACTAAAAAAGCAGCTGTGTTTGTGAGTGGACGCACGTCAGAATTTATGCTGCTTAGGCTCTTAATTTAAAAAAATGGAAATGTGCAATAGCTATCCCTGCTTTAAATACCCCATAGAGACCATGTTCAAACTGATAGATATTTGTATCGGAATGTATGGGGTTTATATAGGGTGTATCGGTATGTATAGGATCCATAGTTGGGATTTATGGTTGTTCTATAGGGATTTCCACCCTTGATTTATTTGCTATTGGTTTCAATGGGGAAAATACACATAAATGTAGATATTAGTTTTTCCCCCATAGGACCCCATAGGTTTTAATAAAACTTTGTCAAATGTTTTATTGTTGTTCTATAGGGATATCCCTATATATCCTTCAATGAGTTGTTTGCTATCAGTCTCAATAGGAAAAATGTAAAAGTTATGGTGTGCCTATAGGTAATTTCCTATATATTTTCTATGTGGCCGTATCCGGAAAAAAACATGGACAAATGCACATATTGAATCCGGTAGCACCCGATAGATTATTTTATATAGGTCTCTATGGGGTATTTTAAGCAGGGATACTAAAAATCATAACCCACAAATTTACCATACCCACAAATTAATAATCTGTGAATTAACCTTAAAATTGACAGTTTGATGACAGCCCTGATAGACCCTGATAGGTTTATTTTTTATTAAAGGAGTAAAATGGTTGTCATTAGCACTTTAAGGCCTTATTTGAGGCTCGTAAGAAACACTACGTTAAAACGATTTTTATTCTGAATATACCCCTTGCGGCCTTGAGTTTACGGTTTATTCACCGTGAATAAACCTTCTGTTTGTGACATTTGTAAACGGTAGTTAGACGGTGAATTCACGCACTTTTCACAGTATTTTAATTGTGAATCCACCGTAAACTCCAGGCCGCAAGGGACAGCACAAACCCAAAGCACAAGAAATGTAAATAACATCAAAATGGCCGCCGTTAGAGTCTGTGCGAGATAGAACAGACCTTGTTGTACAACAGACCGCAATGAATCTGCCAAAGCATTCCAGGAATATTCCCTAAACTCCCGAATATTCTGGCTTGTGCTTGGAATGTTCTTTTCGAATATTCCGTCAAAATCTACTAGGAAGGTTCAAGTTCTTCCAGGACTTTACTTTTATATTCTGGAAATATTCCTTTAAAATATTTATGGTACATTCCGTCCGAATATACTACTAAATTAGTAGTAATAATGTTCTCATTCTCCCAGGAATTAACCATTTTGTTCTGGAAATATTGGAGTCGAAAATTGACTTTTTTCTTGATATCGGTGTACAGACATTTGTAAACTTACTGATGGAAGTTAACTGATGTGGAGGTTTTTCATCCCTTGACAAACTAAAACAATTTTTAATACGGGACAAACCTCCCATAGTGATTTCTCAAATAATATTTTTTAAATTTAAATAAAACAAAAAGTGCTAGTCAAGTATACTTCTTTATCTCGGTTGTCAATCTTCCAAACAATGCGTGCACGTGCGGTCAGTCACATGAGTCGATGGTCTATGCGCGATTGATTAATATTCATTTGTGCGCATTGTACACTCCCCCTTTTTATCCCGCTGCCAAGCGACGCGTTATCTATGTATTCTGATATGCGGAGTTGAAGTTGAATATAATCTTCCTAGTGCAATAGGTAATAGTAAGGAGTGTCATCTGTAACATGTCACCTATAAATAGACCTATTCCATAAAACGGACTTTTGGATAGCGCGTGCGTGAAAAGGCACCTCTTCCTTTTTTTAATTATAAAAGAGAAAGAGATACCACTCTTCTTCAGGCACGCGCTATTCAAAAGTCTATTTTATGGGATAGGTCTATTGACGTCGTATTATTACTTTATATTTTGTTAGGTCCCCATGTATATAATAGTAAGGAGCATGTCACTTGTCATCTATCAATTGACAACGTCGCATTTTTACTTGATATTTTGTCTTGGTTATATTTTGTTTGTCACTATGTCAAATTATATTTTTTGAAAAAATAAAATCAGATGGGCTAACCAACACTTATTATTTCAGGGGGCTATTCTCTGTTAAGAGTAGGGTTGACAGAAATTATTTTGCGATTTTAACCGGATTTGTACAAAATACAAGGCCTACTATGTCAGTTTTTAAGAGTAAATTAGTATATATGTATATAAACAAATATATACTAAACATATTTTGTTAAATTAAAATAAAGAAAGACTAAAATATTATTGATTAAACATTTATTTTTAAACCCAAGCTAATAAATACAATAAAAACTTTTCTAATAGGCTGAAAAGATATTGGTTCTACCCGGACAACATTCGTGATATTCATACGAACATCATGTCGTGATTTTCACAAATTTTATTCATACTGATATCATACGGAAGTCACCGCGTGATAAATGAAAATCATACGAACGTCACGTCGTGATTTTTACAAATTTTATTCATATGGACATCATCCGGATGTCACTGGGTGAGAAATGAAAATCATGTCGTGATTTTTTATGCCATCGCTGTTTGCTATTGACCGATGACACAAAAAACCATGTCGTGATTTTTTATGCCAACGGTGTTTGGATAATCATTTTTGCGCTACGTTCGTACACTAAGAGAAAAATTATGTTGAATCAACAGTTTTGCGGTTAAATACATTTTAAACTCTTGATTCAATTGTTAACATACTTTTTCTTTCAATGTACGAATGTGTCGCAAAAATGAATATCCAAACACCGATGGCATAAAAAATCATGTCGTGATTTTTTATGCCATCGGTGTTTGGATATTTATTTTTGCGCCACATTCGTACATTGAGAGAAAAAGTATACCTACATATATATTGAATCAACAGTTTTTGTGGTTAAATACATTCAATATTTTTTTGGATTAAAATTATTAGTTAATTTACATCCAAGAAAATATTAAATGTATTTGACCGCAAAAACTGGTAATTCAATTGTTAACATACAGTTGTATTCAATAAAAAAGCGTACAAGAATTAGAATGAGAGAAAACTGTCAAAATAATATTATTGCTTAAAACCGGCTTATCACTGACATAAGTCATTAAAATAATTACTATAGGTTATAAAGAACATTGACGTCGTAGGTTAATTAAATAATATTACAAAAATTATTAATTTTTAATATAGATTTTTTATTTCTATTATATCACGGTACGAATTGACCATTCTTCTTCGATTCTTGATACTATTTGAGCCTTTTTAACTGACGAGGCATTTTTATTTTCTACTGTCAGTTATAGTGACTTAAGTCAGTGGAAAGCCGGTTTTACGCAATAATGTTGACAGTTTTCTCTCATTCTAATTCTTGTACGCTTTTTTAATGAATACAACTGTACTTTTTCTTTTAATATATGAATGTGGCGCAAAAATAAATATCCAAACATGCCGGTGCATCGATGGCATAAACAATCATGTCGTGATTTTTTATGCCCAAACACCGATAGCATAAAAAATCATTTCGTGATTTTTTAGGCCATCGGTCAATCGCAAACAGTGATGGCATAAAAAATCACGACATGATTTTCATTTCTCACGCAGTGACATCCGGATGATGTTCGTATGAATAAAATTTGTGAAAATCACGACGTGACGTTCGTATGATTTTCATTTATCACGCGGTGACTTCCCTATAATATCAGTATGAATAAAATTTGTGAAAATCACGACATGATGTTCGTATGAATATCAAGAATGTTGTCAATTAAAAAAGATATTCCAATGTTTAACGTTCACGTTTTCTTAAACATTGGAATATCTTTTTTAATTGAACCCGGACAACATTCGTAATATTCAAACAACGTTTTATAAATTTTAACGGTGTAATGTGAATAACAAACTAGGTTTTAAATTCGCAGTTCGCAGGGCTCATAGGCATGCGCAAATTTTGCAAATATCACACCGTTCTACATGATATCACTGTGATGAAGCATGTGTATGCACTCAGGATATCACATCGTGATAAAAAAAATCACGTTGTGATATCATCATGACTTCACCAGAAAATCCCGATTGTTGTCCGGGTATATAGACAACTCTAGTTAAGAGCCTTAGAACAACTCAAGTTAAGAGCTTTAAAAATATTAAACAAGCTGGTTTTGAATGCAAAACTGGTCCTTTTTCCTAAAGAATGATTTTATAATTAACCATTGCAATACTCTTTATACAATAATGTTCTTTCTTTTTGTGAGGTTGTTGATCTTGGCGTATTATTTGATAACAAATGAACTTTCTCGAGTCATATACAAAATTTAGTTTCCCAAGTATATTAATTATTGGGTTTTATAATATTAATTTTGTTAAAAAGTAATAGTGGAATCCGCCGTTTAATTTGTTTCCAACCTTTATGTTACACTGTTATTTTTCAACAAAACTTTTAACTATTTCCTGCTTTAAATTGGACCAAAACTTGTTATTATTGCATTTATTTATTAATTTGGAATCTTTCATCACAATGTTATTTTTTTCAGGTTCCCGACCGAGGAGGCAGAACTTCCGAGCAAGCACCTCCCCCACCTGAAATGCCATCGTGGCAACAAAGAAGCGCAGGTCCAGCAGGCGGGGGTGGCAGGGGGGGAGGACGAGGCGCAGGTCGCGGAGGCGGCAATTTTCAAAGAGGAGATAATAGCGGCGGTAATCAAGGGGGCTATAGCGGAGGCAATCAAGCATACGGCGGAGGTGGAAACTCGAGCAGGGCTTACGATAGCGCTGGAGGATACTCAATTGAAACAAAATATGGAGGCAGTAATAATAGCGGTTACAATAAAGGTGGACACGACGGAAATAGAGGAGGTAAGAAACGTATGACATTACCTTGTGATTACAATATAAATACATCTGTTTTTATTAAAACAAGTTTACTTTCTTACAACTAACCCACTTAAAATCTATTTCATATTTTTTTGTTTTCCTTTTTTGACCACATATGCATAACGACATTTTTAGTAATTTCTTAGCTGTTTTCCAGAATAGTATCATAAGTAATCTAATAGATTAATTTTACATATGCATCATAGTTTTAGACTAAAACTTCTAGTGTTATATTGTCTTTGACTGTATAGGACATGACACTTTTATGACATTTCCTTATTTAATTTGTCAATATGACAGCATATTATGCTGTACTTAGGACCTATAGGTACTTAATTTCTTCTACTTTGCCTAAAGTCACTCCGTTTATTTCGATGTTCTTTTGTTGTTTTCTATATGCATAAGAAAGCATTTATTTTCGTTAATTTGTCAATATGACAGCATATTATGCTGTCCTTAGGACCTATAGGTACTTAATTTCTTCTACTTTGCCTAAAGTCACTCCGTTTATTTCGATGTTCTTTTGTTGTTTTCTATATGCATAAGAAAGCATTTATTTTCGTTAATTTTCAGTTTGTCCGTTTTTGTATGGTTTCTATGCGTTTCTACGCTTCCAGCAGATTTAAGCCTGATTTATAGATTGCCTTTCTTCCTCCCGTAAAAGATGAACAATACAAAAACCGTTGTGCTGATTAAAGATTCCCGTACGGGAATTTATAAATGGCACGATTGTCGTATTGTTCATTTTCTACGGAAGGAAGGAAGGAAGGAAGGAAGGCAATCTATAAATAAGTGAATCCATACTTTCATTTAGCACGGTGCCGGTGTGCGGGCGGAAGACCATTCGAATGCGTGTGGGATGTTTACCGAATTGATAAATTGATAAAACAGCCCCAGTAGCACCAAATATTAGTTAAATATTAAAATTAATTAAAAATTAAATTAAAATAGAAAACGACAGATTTTTAAGATTTAATGTATATGTATAAGTGTAGGTATTTATTATATAAAAATAATATCACATGCATACTACTAATAAATGTTACATAACTATTTAAAAATAATATGTATTATAAATAAGAAAGATATCTGTATGCAATATCTCTAAGCAATATTGCATAAACAATACGTAAGCCGTAGTTAAATTTATAAAATAACGCCGTCAATTTGTAAATGCAACAACGGCTCCTGTGTTGTATATGTTTCACGGTCAGGAGGAAGTTAATTTATAAATCAGATTTTTAAATTGTTAGTTAAAAAACTTTCCAATACAAGGGGTTTATCGATAATTATCGATAATGGTTGGGATAATTATTTGCCTCTTTTTTAAAGGAAAATTATGTTACAATTGTTTTAACACTGCAGTATTGACATGTTCAAAGGTTTTATTTTTTAATTCATCACCAAAAACATATTTTTCATCGCAATTTTATGCATTTTTTCTACTTTTTCATAAGTAAAAATTAATGACATCCGTAAAGAATTCTGTAGAGATTTTTACCTACCGTGATAATAACATTCATTTGTTAATAAATAACTCGAACTTTAATATATTTCACTGCAAAGAAAAAAATAATGGCCATATTTAAGTTGTATGGACCTGAATATGCTTCGTTTCAAGATTTGACCCTTTATATTCGCAGCTCATGTGTCCGAATACTGCTCTTATACTTTGTGGAGGGTTTTACCTTTATAGTCTGAATATTTTGTGATGAATAGGAATTCTATATAGGTTATTCAAAGTGCTGATATACTTACTTCTCAATGGATCAAGTTTCTCAATACGTACCTGAAGTATTATACGCAGTCAAAATTCATGTATGTTCTGATTTCTACACCTCATTCAAGCGTTTAAATTTCTTACTGAAATTCAAGGTGCTGAATACTTCTTAACGGGTCAAGTTTTTCAATACTTCCCTTAAGTATTTGCAGTCAAAGTTGATTTAAGTCTAATTTAAATAGATTTCTACACCTGAGTCAAGTGTTCAAATCTCGTGCTGATGAATGTTATTAATTCTGTCTTACGTGGAGGTATTTGGGCCATGTTAAAATGAATATTGGATGCTCTATACTTAAGTCAAGGATTCAAATTCGAGGATTAGGTGGATGGGGAGTAAACATAAAAAAATGATTCGAGACGGAAGTGAAGTCATATACGGGAGGCCCACACCGATTTTTTATAATAATTTTGTTCAAAATACATAAATATTCGTTATATGATGCAATAACCAGTAAAAAATTAGTTATGATAATATATTTACTTTGCATTTTACAAAAAATACACTGTTAACTTTTTGTACAGATACATATTATGTATTTCATATATTAGTATATTATGTATCAAGTTTTATAAACGCCATTTTAGTTACGAGTTTAATTAAGCACGGGCGAAGCTTGCGAGCAACCCAACCCTCAAAAATTCAGCAACGTAAAGATAGCAACAAAAAAGCCTTGAGCGACATTTTTAAACTTTTTAAAAGATTTCATATATACCAAAGCGCACTTTTTTGGCAGCCGCTACACCTTTATTTCAAAATATAGTGACTGACATAGGCAAGGTAACAACAGCAATAAAACGACAAACAAGCACTCATGGGCCCGAGCGTCAGTCGCTGCACCTTTATTTTAAAATAAAGGTGCAGTGACTGACGCCGCAAACAAGTGCGGGGTTGGGTGCCGGCGGCAGGGAAGGGCGTTTTCGTACATTTCAAACAACTTTGACAGACACACTACCGAAAAGACAAAGTTTCAAACTAAATAAAATAATAAATCACAGGGTTTATTACACTTACACTTTACTCCACCATGGCATACTCTGTTATAAATGTATGTAATTTTCTAAATGTTATAATAAATATTTTAATTGGTAATTGCGCTTGATTAGCATGCGAGACACAGCAAACGGAAAAATATAGAACTGTATAGGATGACTCCGCGTTTGAATACTAAATCTTAAAGTTTTATCAGAACTGTATTGAATCGTGCTTTGTTTTTATATTTTTCGGCTCTATACCTATGCCCGACTATATTTAAAGTCAAACTCAATGGTGTCTTACAAGATACATTATTTTGATTTTCTATATTCAACAGAGAGGTAGAAACTCGACCCTGTCGAATGGTGCAGTCATTTATGTCTCTAGAAATTATTGAAAAAGGGTTCAGTCCAATGGTGCAGCAACTTCGGATTCCTATTCTCTTCAGAGACATAGAAACTTAAGCTTTTCGAATTTTACTGGCAATGATTTTCGTTAATGTCCCCGAGAATTATACAAAAACAGCGCAATGCAATATCGCAACAGTTTCGACTTCTCTTTACTCTACCAAGTTATAGAAACTGGAGTCTCTCTAATACTGTTCTAGTCAATATTTCTGAGAGTATTAAAAGAGGGTGTAATATTGCAAGAAGTTTTGATCTTTTGATGGATGCAAGTAGTTTGAATTTTCTCATTTCTGCATATGATTTTGTTGAAAATAGTTCCTTTCTTTGGTTCCTTTGTCTGATTTTTATTTACCGTAACAACTCAGGTATGTAAAGCAAAGAGGATATGATGTTAAGTATATTTATGTATTATATAAAGTACCTATATTTGTATTAAAAATTTCAGAGGTTATGTTGAAAAAATGATCGATATGCTATTAAACTTTAATAATTTAGTAATGAGGTCTGTTGGTAGACCCTGCACTATCTCCACTGGTATATGTTAGTACAGCAATATTTAAATCTGGTTGATAAAAAAGTACACACCAGTGCAGGTTATTGTAGCATCTACGAAAAAATCAATTAATGGCCCATTGGCAATTATTCCTTTAGGAAAAATATTCAACACAGCTTAATTAATTAATAAAATGAAAAAAATCACAATCATGTCGTATATAGTTTTTTTTAAGAATAAAATAGTTTTCATATTAATACTAGTTCAAAAGTGAAATTATGACCTCTATACTGTGGAGAGTATTGAAATGCTCGACTGACGAATACAACTCTATACCCTGGCGAGATTTAGAAAACTGTATTCAAACGTGGCGTCATCCAATACACTTCTATATTTTTCCGTTTGCTGTGGAGGTTCCGGGATCAAACCCGGTTGTTTTCTATGTTGTTTGTTAGTCCATACTTTCCACAAGGGCTTAAATCTTTATTTCACTGTTGTCTCAAACAGCTACCTGTGTAAAGTACGATTATTATTATTAATAAATATCCTTATTAACACCTGTAGGTAAAAAAGTAGAATTATTTCCGCAAAAAGTTATAAAACCCATGTAAAAGAACTTAAAACGCGTTAAAAAAATAAGAACATCCAAGAGAACATCTATTTTTTATTTAAAATACTAGTTAATAAAAAAGTTATTAAATTATTTTCGCTAAACCGGGCGTCAAAAACTATAGTGAAGCTGGTAAAATATTAAACGCCAGTCCTGGATTATCGATCAAAACATGTATAAAACCGGCCGCGGCGACCTAATTGTTTTTATTTTATCCAAGACCTCAAAAAAATTAACAACTACTTAATTTATTTTGTTTTTGCGTTGTAAAAAATAATAATTTTTCCTTGCTAATATTTGTTTAAAATTTTTGTGGGTTCTAAAGAAAGCAGATTTAAAAAATGTTCTTGTATTAAACTTTATTTATCAATAACCAAGAAATAATGTTTCCTTTTTAGGCTACAGCCGTGGTGGCAATGACAATAGATCTGGTTACAATAGCAGTTACAGCGATAACAGAAGTGATTATAGTGATTCTAGCGGTTACAGAGGCAACAATAGTACAGGCGGTTATGATAATTCAAATAGAAGGGACAGCTATAACGAACAAACATCTAAAAGAGCAAAAACGTACGACTCTTACCAATCGAATAAAACGACGTATGCAGACCAGTATGTTCAAGAGAGCACCCAAAACCAGCAGTATCAGTCGCGTGGGCAACACGGCGGTGGTCGCGGTGGTGGAAGGGGGAGATCCAACTATGGCAGGGGCAGAGGCAGTAATAGCCATTATTGATGTATTAAATTTAAAAAACTGTTTTTGTTTAACTCATTGAATGCTTTCCTGTATGTACTTATGTACTCATTTAATATATAAATAATTATTTATTTGATGGCTTATACTAATAATTATCAATTATAATGAACCTCTCATAATACTTAAATAAATTTATATAAGTATTAATAGGTGTTTTTTATTTATTAAAACTATAGTATGGTAGATGATGAAAATCTAGCAAAATTCCAATGTGTGGGATTTTTTTTAGGTACAATTTGTAATAAATTATACAAAAAAAATAAAATTAAATTTTGTTTTTACATAATCATTGTGTAGAACAAAAATTCCTACATCTTATAAAATATTTGGTTTTTTAATTATTTAAATACCTATAGTTCATTAATTCCACTGTCAAGCATCCTGATGAATAATAAGTTACAAGCATTTTTGGGTGTTTAGTTTTCTACTTCTAATTATCATTTTACGAAGATAATTATTATTATTATCTGGTCAGAATTTCATACTAAAATAAGAGGGCGCTGGTGTCCTGTTGATTGTTTGATTTGTACTGAAACGCTACCAACACAGCAGACGTCAGTACTCATCGACAATTAGCGCCGCTGGTGGTGAAAAAAGAGGACCTAATTTGTGCAATTTAGTGGGCAGGTTTTGTCAAGCAATTTTGAGGTCGAATCTTTTATAATCTTGGTCGAATTCGGATTTGGCACGTCAAAAAAATTTAGAAAAATTTCTGGTTAAAAATATTCTAGCCCAGCCAACAAAGTCAAGGTAGTGCTACTAGTAGCAGAGGGTAGCGCTACCCTCTGCTACTAGTAGCCAGGGCCGGCCCGACTTTTTTTGCCGCCCCGGGCGAAGATATTTTTGCCGCCCCCTTGTTATTCGGCAGAAATAGTGGCAAAAGTAGTTTAACGTAATTATTTTTTAGTTTTTTATGCTTTAGAATCACCAATAGGTAAGGCAATATAATGGCTTACGTCGCAAAAAAAAAAAACTATGATTTTAATATAGAAATTTAAATATTATTTAAATAACGAAATGTGCGATAAATTTGTAATAAATCCCATTTATTTCTTTAAAACACTGATTTTTTTGTAATATAAACTAAATAGAATCGCTTATTTGACAGGTTTTGAACGCGAAAATATTTTTTAAAAAAGGTTAGTCACCCGCGGGGTTCAAAGCCACCCGTGTTTACGGTATGCAATATTATTAAATTATAGTATATTTATTATACCTTCACACGATGTTTTTTTTGGAAGAATTTGGAAAATGTTGCTGCTAGAACTCGATTTTCCGCCTCACGCGCCCTTTTTTGGTGTCTATAAAAAGCTCCTGAATCTTTTTTGCGTTTTTCAGACATTTTAAACTTCTAATTATAATTAGATAATTATCAAACTACCTTAGTATTTCACTGATTTTACAATGCACGATCGTGAGATATTTTTCAATTAATTGTCAATTGTCAAACACAGTAAAGAAAACTACAGGATATGATTGAAGAAACAAATAAAAGAGGGCGCCAGCGTCGTCTTCCGAGAACGCCTCTATTAAATCATGTGTAACAAAGATATTTCTCGAGCTTAATACTGGAAAAAATCGCCAATCGAAATTTTTGTATTATGTTCATTGAAATTTATTATCATTAACACATCTTAAAAATGCCGCCCCCCCATTGTGCCGCTCCGGGCGGTTGCCCGGTTCGCCCGTACCTCGGGCCGGCCCTGCTAGTAGCACTACCTTGACTTTGTTGGCTGGGAGGGCTGTGTAATTTTTAATCTAGAACTGCTATGAGTGGACTCCATGGATGGATTTTGAAAAAGAAATTACTAACAAGTTGTCCGGAAAAAGACCCGTAATTAATTTTCATATCTCTAATTTTATTAGGGGTCTTCAATAAAAGGTATTAAACCACTTTTTTTAAAATAATATAAATCTTTTTTTAAAGAGAAACCGATTGTAAGCAAACTTAGGGGCACCAGTTTATTTTGCCACCCTGGGCCCCCGACGCACTATAGTGCGTCGGGGGCCCAGGGTGGCAAAATAAACTGGTGCCCCTAAGTTTGCTTACAATCGGTTTCTCTTTAAAAAAAGATTTATATTATTTTAAAAAAAGTGGTTTAATACCTTTTATTGAAGACCCCTAATAAAATTAGAGATATGAAAATTAATTACGGGTCTTTTTCCGGACAACCCAGATAGCACAAGATGTCCTGAGGACATCCGGTTTAAATCCTTTACAGACGGTCGCGACCAGAAAACCGATGGACGTCCTGAGGCCTAGGCCTATGGACGTCCTAAGGCCTAGGCCGATGGACATCCTGAGTACGTCCATCGGTTTTTTGCCTGCGACAATAGTTGAAGATACAAGTTGATATATCACCCTTTATAAAGGCCTTTATAAAAGGTGATATATCAATTTGTATCTTCAACTATTGTCGCAGGCAAAAAACCGATGGACGTACTCAGGATGTCCATCGGCCTAGGCCTTAGGACGTCCATAGGCCTAGGCCTCAGGACGTCCATCGGTTTTCTGGTCGCGACCCGGGTCTAAGTGAAAAAAAATTACACCTTGTTTTTTATTAAAAATACTCCTTAATCAAGCACGATAAAAGATTTAAAAAAAAAGTTGTCAATTTTTTTTCACTTATATGTCTATAGATAGACCCTTTATCCACTTAAGTGGAATTGTGTCTTTAGTTGTCAAGTATTTTTAGCAATTGCAATTTTCCATATCTCTAACTTATTTAAAAATATATAGTAAAATTAATTAATTCATTGCATTAAAAATATCATTACAAATTTTAAAAAATTATTTTTAATTATATTATATATATTAGGTATATTATATTTTTAATTTGTTGAATAAAAAATATCACATTGGCCAAATTAATAATTTGAATTAATAATATTATATGAGAAATGTATAATACGAATTAAAAATACCATTGGAGAAATTTCTCCACTTTAACATTTAAATTATTTAATTTGTCCTATAATATTTTTAATGCAATAAATTGTAAGAGTTTATTTCAAATTTACCGCCAAATAAACAGTTGGTATTGGAAGTAACCAGTTTAGTGACTTTAAGTTGGCAGTCTGAAATCCGCCATGTTGGCATTGTTCATAAAACAGCGTGTGCTGTTTTTAGTTAGCTCCCTGTTTAGTTAAATTTCTGTGTATTTAAATATATGATATAAGTGAAAACAACTTTTATTATATGGAAAAACCCCTACAAAATTTAAGTTTTCACTTGATATTTTTAAATAATTTAGAGATATGAAGGTATGTGAAATTCAATGGAGAAATAAATAAAAATAGTATTATGAAAGGTTTATTGTTTTAACTTAAGGAATATATGGTTAACGGATTGACCTCCTTTTCCCGGACACCCTGTATATATATATATATATATATATATATATATATATTAACAAAACACTTGTTAACACTGTATTACATTTCCCTATTATAATAAAACTATGTCCTAATTCGGTCCTCATATGTCCCGAATTGGACAGCTTGGGGTCAAATACGGACGTCCTGAGGACATCCTATTTCGGAAGTCTGTGGACGGTCAAATACGGACGTCCTGAGGACATCTGAAACAGTCTATTTCGGAAGTCTGTGGACGTACTACGAACGTACTTTTGCAGACCCCGGACATCCTGAGGACGTTCGGGTTGTCCTGGGTGGAAGTCCTACGAACGTCCTACGAACGTACTTGTGCTATCTGGGAACTTGTTAGTAATTTATATATGGTTTATCGGCGGAAAAATACATTTTAAAAACTTTTTATTATGTGTATTTTTATGACGATAATTTGTTAAAAACATCTTAAAGCAAGAGATTTTGGAAAAGAATTATTTTTAAATAATTTTGGTTTGATTTTATGCCACCTCAAAGTAGAATGTTTTCAAACCAGTAAAATTGTCTAAAAATTACGCACACATTTAATAATTAATAATCTAACAAAAAATGTATACTTTTTTTTAAATAAGTTTAAAGTACACCTTAATCTATATATACATATATAAATTCCTATTTGAATAAAAAAATAAAAATTAAAAGTTATAACGTTACGTATAAAAAATAAAAAATACATTTCAAAAACTTTATATTATGTGTATTTTTATGACGATAATTTGTTAAAAACATCTTAAAGCAAGAGATTTTGGAAAAGAATTATTTTTAAATAATTTTGGTTTGATTTTATGCCACCTCAAAGTAGAATGTTTTCAAACCAGTAAAATTGTCTAAAAATTACGCACACATTTAATAATTAATAATCTAACAAAAAATGTATACTTTTTTTTAAATAAGTTTAAAGTACACCTTAATCTATATATACATATATAAATTCCTATTTGAATAAAAAAATTAAAATTAAAAGTTATAACGTTACATACCTTTTAAAGACACATTGGCAAAATTTACAGAAAAAAAATCATATAGGCTGTTAACTAGGATTGCCTCCGATTTCCACATGAGGTTGTTTAGTAAACTTTACTTTACTAGTATACAAAAAATTAGCTTTTTATTTATCGCGATGCATGGCTAATCGCGATCGCTCGTACCTATAGGTTATAGTTATAACTAGGGGATTGCCTATAGGCGTATACGCAAAATTATTGGGTTATTTCCGCAATTGATGCTCTAGGAAAATCTAAAACGCATTTAAAAAATAAAAACCTTTATGTTTTTGAAATATAGTTAATTATACGTAATAATCCTTATATAATACATAAAATAAATAAAAACGTTTTTGAAGTATTTTTGCAAAACAGTGCACTGCTTTATGATAATCTAAAAAGGCATTTAAAAAATAAAAACCTTTAAAATTTTCGATCAAAATATAGTTAATTATACGTAATAACTTCTATTTCACACATTAAAAAAAAGAAAAATTTTAAAATTAATAATTTTTTAATAAAAAAGTTATTGAATTTTTTTCCGCAAAACGCTGCTTTTTGACCATAGTGCGACGGTTTTAGTCCGCCACTGTATTAATGTCTTAAATGTATTAATTTAGACATAGATAACAAAGTCTTTTCCATTTTTATGCGTGTTTTTTATAGTTTAATTTTTATCAGATCGACTTTAATTTTCTATTATTATTAATTTTTCCCCCATATTTAAAAAAATATATATGTAAGTATCGGACAATGGTAATTTTTAATTTCAGCGTGCCCATGGAAAAATTATTGTCTATTTGGCCAGTGTAGTGATTTTGACCAACTGTGCAAATATTCGAATTATTTAAGATAAATCAAATCAAATAATATTATAATAGCTCGAATTAGGAATTTGAATGGTATTAATATTTAAAATTTCAAACTTTCCAATAATGTTTGTGGTTATTTTAATAGCTTTGTTTTTTTGCACAGATAATTAGTTTTCTCGATTTTTATGTAAGAATGTCATATTCTCGCACGCAAAATCGTTGAAGAATGAAGCTCATTCTTAAACGATTTTTGGTAACATTTAGTTTTTAAGTATTGGTACCCCCAAAATGTCAAACTGATTAATAACCTCAAATTCATTACTTTTATTGAAAATGAAGCCTTTATTATTGTTTTTGTAATATTAAGTTTGCTCCAACAATGCATTTTAATGCAAAATTTTAAGTTGAATGTAAAAAAGTGCAGTTCAGGTTGTACTTGTGCAGGATAACAAATATTGTCATTTTGTGTTGCCAACTGACATTTTGCGAGAAAAATCCCCTAACTAACAACGACCACAAAACAATTAAAAAAACCTAAATAAAAGTTAAAATCGAGAAAATAGTATAAATCACACGTTGCAGAAGGCTATTCTCGCACTCATTCGTTCGTCCACTCGCTCCTTCGTCGCTCGAGGCCAAATTTCGAATTCGTGCGAGAATATGTGGCCTTCTGCAACTTGTACTTTAATATACTATTAAATTGGTTCTGAACTGGTTCAAGAGTTTTCCACAAACAAAGCTAATATGACTTACCAAGGACTTACCTGTTTAAGTTAAACCATGGTTATTTTAAAACATTGAAATAATTGCATAATATTAAAGACATTTATTAATCAAAGTTATCAGATTAGACTTGTACACATAATTGAACTTAAAATACATTTTTTTGAACATTACGAAAAATATTTGTATTACCATCCACCTCTTCCTCCTCTAAAACCACCACCTCCACGTCCTCCCCGAAAACCTCCGTCACCACCACCACCACCACTGTAGCCACCGCCACCGTAGCCTCCACCACCGCGACCCCCTCTGTAGCCGCCGCCACCTCCTCCGTAGCCGCCACCACCACCTCCGTAGCCGCCACCACCACCTCCGTAGCCGCCGCCACCACCTCCGTACCCGCCACCGCCACCTCCGTAACCGCCGCCTCTACCACCGCGACCTCTCGAGAATTTTGGTGGAGGTCCACTGAATCCCAAAGAGTGGCCACGTGGAGGCCTTTGTGATGCTAACAACGATGGTTTTGCTCTTTCTATTTCAAAACTTCCTGCATGAAGCCTGCACAGCTCTTTCATTACTGAAACCACCTGAAAAGAAATAGAGGATATTAAATGAGATATATCCTCGTGGAAATTTTTTTCTGAAAAAGTTTTAATAAGTAAAAATAAGAGTTTTGAAAGTCTTACTTTCTCTTAAAAACTTATTAAGTTGGAAAAAGTCAAAATAATCGCAATATTTGGGAGTCTTCTGGAAGAGTTTATAAGACTTAATAAGAGTTTTAGAAGAGAAATGATAGGTACCTAGGTTTAGCTATAGCAATAAAAATCCGGAATTATTCTGACAGGTTGTATTTGGTTATTGAAAAATAAAACACAAAAAATAGTAGATTATGTCATAAGGAGTAGAAGTGACTCTTTTTGTGGTGAGTACAGAGATTGATGGCCGAAGCGTAGCTGAGGCAGGCAACTGTACGAAGCACAAAAAGAGCTTCTACTCCAAATAACATATACTATTTTTTTTTTCAAGGGCGTAATATAAATATAATAAGCAAAATTTACATTAAATGTACAATTACACGCACTGCAGCTCTTCAATTAAATCATGTGGGATAAAATTTTGGCTAAAAGCATTAGAAATTATTGATAAAAACTAAAAAAACTTATAACCCTTACTTACAATGCCGATAAATATCCTAAACTAAAAATAAACACAGCTGTCAAAATGCTGCGCTTGAATTAATTTTGACGTACTGACATTTGTTTGAAATTCCGACATTGGCGACTCGTCTATCATCATAATATTATACTAATAAACTAGTTGTTCTTTGTTTGGTTCAATTAAAATTTAATAAATAATCACTAAATATTCCGTGCGATTAGATAGATAGATAGATAGATAGATGTTTATTATTTTACAACCAATTTTACAAACAAAAATAATATTTAAATTAAATATATATGCAAAAAAATACAAAAAAAATGTTAACTTTACCAAGAAAAACAATAATTATAATTAATATAATTAATACATCGTGATTGCTTAGTATGAAATGCTAAATTAATTTTATTATTTGACGTCTATTGAGTCACCTATGGATTTACTTCTATCCCTAGGCTTTTTTGAGTTTTTTGTCTGCCGCTAATGAAAAAGACGCACTTCAACTATCTCTATACATGCATATAAGGTTGTATATCATGGCCGCTTGAAAAAAAAAGTATTTATTAACATTTTTGCTGTTTTGGCATAAACCAAGTTTATTGCATAATTACCTATTAGTCCAGTCATCTAGGCATTTCACCTCGGAATCTAACGGAATAAGCTGAATTTTTGTACAAACCTTTATTTTAGCATTGCAAATGTTGTCTTAAAAGTCACATATGCCAACGTGTGAGCGGTCTTAGTTATTCAAGGTCAAAGGTCGCAAAAATCAATTTTTTGAGAATATCTCCTTTTCTCTGCCTCCTATCGTATTTGCATATATTATACAAGTTGTAGAGAATAAAATTCTCTACAAATTTTGATTAAAACATTTTTTTATACGTCTAATCGTTTTTGAGATAGAGGGCGCAGAGTGTGGTATGCTCAGCCATACGTACCTTTAGCGCAAGGTAAATCATGAATCCCAATCTATTATACCGATTTTTTATTAATTATTTATTAAATATTACTTAAATAACAATTTAATACCTTATATTTATTTTTATATATTTTTTTAAATCAAATAGTCATTAAATATTACTTACTTTTGACATACAAATAATTAAATAATGAAGTGAATCATTCTAAATATATTCTAATGTTATTCTAATTAATGATAAATGCATTTTAAGAAGAAAAGACATTAAATAAATTTGCCTTGAATATGTTATCTCTGGTTATCTCTTGGATCCAGATATTGCTTTTAAAATAACAGACCTGGAAATACTATAGTGGGCTTGCTATATATAAAAAGGTTAGGTATACCTCACCTTTTTATTTAAAGCAAGTTGTGACCCTAGGTATAGGTCTAGGGTTGTAATATTTTAAAGGTTAACATGGCTGATTTGTGTTTTATTGTAATAAGTTACTTTCTGAAGGTGATTCTGTGACTTTTGTGCCCGGTATAAAGACTATAACCAAAATTTAAGGGATGTTGCACCCTTAACCAAAGGAGAGTTATAAAAGGGGTTCTTACACACTTTAATTGAAAATAATCAAAAAAGCATGGGCCTGGCTAGGTTACGGCGGTGGCTATGGGCGTGTGGTTTTTTAAAAAAATAGTTTAATAGACAGACCTAGAATATAAATAGAAAAATACACAAACAGACACTAATTATTGACAATGTTTTTCTTTTAAAGATATATAGACGATGGAATAAAGTTTTAATTGATAATTTTGAATAAATAGATTTAAAAGATGTTATAGGGCGCCACGTAATTTTTAAATTTACTATCAATTATTTATAAAAATTACGAAAATTTAATTTAATCTAATATATCGATAAAAATAATATATTTTAAACCACAACTTATCTGCAGCTACCTCTCACAGCAATTTATTTATCTTTTAGGTTTAAAAAAAACAAGCTAGTATTAAAAAGAAAATTAAATGATTATTTATTTAGATATTAGTTTAAAGATGAAATTAAATTGGTTATGATATTCGTTAAATAAATTTCTTAAATAAACCAAGAAACATAATACGTCTAATTTACCGTCAGTATACTGCAGTTACCTTTGGCGCACAGATTTTATTTTAATGTTACTTTTTTTCAATTTGCAAATTAATTTTTGTAATATTCCAATAAATAACTTGGCTATAATAAAGCCAAAGAAAATATATCTATTTTTGTTAAAACTTAAACTTAAAAATATATGTAATTATTCAAAACAATAATTTAATAACAATTAAGATAAACAATTTGTTACTTGTGATCCCACGGTGACAGTAGCTTGCAGCAGAGCAGGACACGATCCTACAGCGGTAGAGATTCTTCGTGATTACAACGAGCGTTTGCAGATAGTATTTCGAACAATATTATGGTAATATACTTCAATGATTTAACAATGACATTCAGCTAGAAATTAGTGGCTCAATCGAAGCTGGAGCTAGGCACTAGAAATTAAAACTAATACGGAAAACTAAAACCCTAAAAAGTTCAAAAGAAAAGAAAATTAACAACAAGAAAAAACAATAAAAATAAGGCATACCTTTCACGAAGGGTATAAACACAAAATCCAGAATTCCTTGGGCTTTAGATGGAAAAGTAAAGATTTTCAGGCTTGATTCCTGTTGAGGTGAATTATCCGCCGGAGCGTTTTAAAAAGTGAATATTCCAAAAATATCAACCACACTAACTCAATCACTTTTTAAAGAAAACTTTTGTTATTAACAAATCCCTTAATTTCTAAGGATGGAACCAATATCCAATAATTTAATAACAATACTTGCACACTCAACCAGAAACCATTTTTTGAATGCCCAAAAAAAAATCAAGCAAAAAACCAATCGACGCAATTGGTAAATAGCGCGGCAATAAATTTAAATAAATCAAGGAAACAAAAATAAAGATAATTAGACAACATACAGAATAAAGTATCAATAAAACATCTATTTAGCAAGAGAAGGTATCAAAAATCTACATTAAGCTAATAAACATAGACAAACGAATTCAAAAGTAATGGTATGAATATTATTGTTTAAATAAGTTTTAAACAGGTAGTTCGAACAAACAACTATACTTTTGGTGAATGGATCAATTAAGTGTTTATACTCATTTTAATCAATTAAATGCTTGTACTCATTTAAATTTTGGAATACTTTAATAATGATTATGTATTAATTATATAAAGGCAATTCAAATGATTCAATTATTTACATTAGGTTTAAGATATTTACATTAGATTCTTATAGGCAGATAAAACAATAGATAATTAACGTGTTCTGGGTTGCATACGTTCAATGTTTAAAATAAATAATTAAATATTATAAAAATGTATTATTGTCGCTAAATTCAAATATTAAGGTTACAAACACTTCCCCACCTTCAAGAAAATTACCCTAATTTTCTCAAATAAAAAAAAAATTAATCCTCAAATTCAGAAGGGTGAGCGCGCAAGTCCTTTACATTCCATATACCTTTTTTATTGCCTAGGTCATCAACAAGCTCATAGGTCCAAGGTGAAAGTTTTGAATTTACTCGAAATGGCCCTATAAATCGCGAACATAGTTTCTTGGAAATAAAGTTTTGTGAGTCTGAAATAGCATAATTACGACGCCACACCATTTGATTGGGTAAAAATTCTTCGTGTCTACGACGTAAATTATAGTATTTGGCATTCTTATCAGAGGCTACTTTCAGACGAGATTTTACATCTTCATAAACTTTCTTAAACCCACTAGTCCTGTCTATTCCCTCAACATCATCATTATCTCGAAAGATGTCCTTTTTGTTATATTCCTTACCAGACAAAATCATCGGCCTGCCAAAATTAATGAAATAGGGAGTTTGCTTTGTAGCTTCACTTTTGGAGGATCTAATTGCACAAGCGATTTTAGACAAGTTCTCATCCCATAAGCGGTGGTTTTCAGAGACATAAGCCATGAGCATGAACTTTAAGGTGCGGTTTTGCCTTTCCGTCGGATTGGCTTGAGCGTGATAATGCGCATTATATTTTGAAATGACCCCATATTTTGCCAACAAATCCCTATACTCCTTACTTCTATACTGAGGACCGTTATCGCTTAATGCTAAACGGGGAACCCCAAACAACAAAAATACTTCGTCTTCAATTTTTTTTGTAATAACAGCAGCCTTTGCATTCCTTAAAGGAAAGACCAGATTAAATTTACTAAAATAATCAGTCACTACCAGAATATATCAATTTCCTTTTTTTGATTTAACTAGCGGACCAATCAAATCAGAAGAGATTACCTCCCAAGGTCGAGAAACCGAGTGGGAGTGGGATAACATCAAACCTGCTGGTTTTCGGTTGTCACTACGACACTTTAAGCAAACTACACAACTTTTAACAAATCTTGCCACATCATTTCTCAATTTTGGCCAATAATAGGTCTGACAAATTCTTGAGAAGGTTTTGTAAACAC